AAATTGCTCACATCAAATGACAGCCCCTAGAAACCTTCCCTGGGACTTGCAGATGATGGGCCAACAGGGCACTTCTACATCACATTGTCCAGCCAAACTGCGCTTGACAGTGAGCTCTGCCCCGCGGTTTTGCCCCGGGATTGGGTCTCTTTTCAATTTCCTGGCAGTCCGTTCCCTTCATTCGTAGAAGCACTCTGTTCTGTGACATGGTGGCTGAGAAAAGAGGACATGCTTTCTTGAAGTAAATCAATAGATTGAGTTTCATTTGGATGAGTTTAAGTATATCAGGAATTATTTTTTCTAAGTAACACAAGGGGGAACTGTGATTGTGGTCAGAATCTGCCATGAAGCAGGATCATGAGTTCATGGTGAAGACGAGGAAGCTGAGTCATCTCAGTCTTCACCTCATGGCTGTCAATCTGTGTGCTGTGCTAAATGAAATGCACAAGTGATGATGATTGGACTTAATTGTGTTTCCTTCATATTTAGTGGAATTATTTGAGGTTATTCAGCCTTTTGGGATCTGAAGTTTCATTTCTGCCCAGATGAAGTCAAATACTTCTATGATGTGATTGCTCTTGTATAACGGATGAATAACAAACACGCCAAAAAAAGCCTCTTTCAAAAAGGAGCAAGGGTTGAAGGAGCATTTTTATTCAAACTCTGCCTGCAAGAAACCAGAGAAAGAAAGGAAGAATTGCAAAAGCCTTGAAAATGTTGTTTATAATTCATTTTCATATTTTCCATTTATCAAGAGCTAAGTTCCCTTCTTTTTTTCCATCTGTGGAGTTTTCTGCATGAAGGAGCTTCCTCTGTCTCTCGCGTCCCCGTGGTAAACAGAATCTGCCAATGCCCTCAAGGACAGAGTGACTCTCCAGCAGGCTGCATGCACATCACGCCGGCATGAACACTGACAGCATGTCAACTGCAAACATTTTACCTGACCAATAAAATGTGTGGAAAATGATGTATCATACATGCATCATGTAACCCATGAAGTGCCTGTCAATCATTTTGTGTACTTTTTGTAACCTGCAGATTGCTCATTAATTTTAAACTGTATGTCATGCCCAGACTCAATAGTTATAGTAAACCACACCTCAGATCCAATATACCTCAAATTTTTAACCCTAAGAGGAGGGAAGTTTTAGATGTTGTCTGAAAGAGATAGGACAGGATTTAGTTATTAGGAGAATGAATTCCTTGTTTTTAATTGGTCTTACTTGTTTTTGTTCTCTTTTCTCCATCTAATGAAAATGTATTTATCAACAACAACAAAAAAAAACAGCACATACTGTACGTACAAAAGAGTGGGGACTTGTCATCACCAAAAGCATAGGCCTTCTCATGAGCGGAAAGTAGCAAAGCATTTACAGTACCTCAATATTTATGACAGTACTGTGGACCTAATTGGGACAGGATTTCCCTGGATTGTGGCCGGGTTGACATTTTGGTGCCCTCCCAAACACCTCTTAAAGCAAAAAAATGCCATGTTCTTAAGTGGCAGAGTCAGTCATGTGGCCCGCACTCAGCACAGTGGGATTTCAACACTCTAAAAGATGACACTGAGAGCAGAAAGATTTACACACAGGGAGCAACTAAAAACAGCTGCAGAAGAAGGCCTGTCAAGGCATCTGGGCGGACGAATCTTTGAAGATGTCCCTGACTTCAGGCGGTCATTAAACACTCATGACTTGTGTTCGGTTTATATAGTGCCACAGAAAGGTGTGCAGCCATCATTCATGTTTTTTTTATTCATTACTAGTAAACCAGGAAGGGTAACAGTTTATTTAAACAATTACCAATAAAGAAGTAAAATTAGTAAATACAAAAAAGGTTTGAAAGGTAAAAAAGTGCTAATAAATCTTTTACCTCATCCTGGACACTTTCAGATCTTGGTTATCTGCTGTAGATATGTATTTTTTCAAGGCCCAACTCTTCTTGTGTCCTTCAATTGTTTAGTTTTTTTGCATTTTAATTAAACACATCATGTTTAGTTTTTTTGCTGTTGGTTGGTTCAGGCAGGCCATTACAATGTATTCCGTTTTTTTCACCCAAAAAATGTGGATACAGCAGCCTCTCCTGAATATCATGTTGGATATGTGGGATGTAAGGATAATATCACTTAATTTCATACATTAATGAAAAATTAGGTCAGTTCCACCTGATAAAAAGAACATATGAGGAATTATTTGTCATGAGGCTTGAAAAAAGAAAGATTTGCTTGTGCAGAAAATTGTTATTTTTATTGACAGTTTTGCTAGATCTACATTAGATTCAGTTATACGAATACATTCTTTTGTCAAAATTGGCCTTTAATTTCCTACTAAATTCAATTAGGCAGGAAAAAGTCAGCAGACCGAACACATGAGCTTCTTTAGATCAAACTGAATTTGAATATACGTTTCTGAGTGTTCACATACTTCAATAAAAAAGAAATTCATAACTTAATTACTGTGAATCCAAGTATTTTACTTCAACTCGTGTACAAAAAGCCCCTAAAAAACCCTCAGAGTGACTTGCACGGCAGAAAAAGTTATTTTTCCACAGAAGAACCATAGCCCAGATCTTTCAACACACAAATTAGGACAAACTGTCAAAGCCTTTTATTCCTGTGACTGTAACAGAACAGATCCATTTTGCCACTGATTGTTTAGTCTAATGAACATTTAAAATCCCTTTATAAATGTAGGGCAGCAGATTGGGAGCTGCTTCAGCATGCGATGAGACAGTTAAATGGTACACATCTATCTGTATCAGGGGGGAATAAAGCCTGCCACCCTAAATGAGCCTCACACAAAGCACACCAACAATGCTCCTGCTGAGGGGTCTGTGTGGAATCTGTGTCACACATGGCATGAAGTTGTGGCTGTTTGATGTTGCAGGGCCTCAGGACAGAGCTCAAACTCCAGCATGAAACACAGTTTGTAAAAGCGAGGAAGGGAACTCAGAATGTTCCAAGGCCAGTAAAAAGATTTCCTGCTGTGGAACCAGCAGCGCTCTGACGCCCAGGAGCTAATCATCACGTGCTTATAGCGCAGACACTTTGCTATCTGAAGATGACAGACTCCTTTCTCGGTCCACCTCATATTACCCAAATGGCAAACACAACTTGTGTGTGCCGAATTTGTCCAGACAGTCGTTGCATCATGGGAGCACAATGTGCCAAACGGCTTCAAGTCCAAAGTCAGGAGGAATTGACTTCACAGAGAGGTCGACATCAATTTCAGAATCCTGCACAGACTACTGGTGGCAGACTTATGACAGGCAACATGACAGCAGCAAGAGCAGTCATGCTATTCCCCCACCAGAAGACAAACGCTGCATACACACCGCACATGTAGCAGCTTGTCACAACATTTATAGAATTTGTTAGTTGTACATTGGGTGCCTTTGTTTTTGTTATATGTCAGCTTTCTGCCAGTCACAGTCAGTCACAGAATCCATAAGTCGCCTTAAATTTCTCTTTAACTGAACCCAAACTGTACTTAAATCAGACAGTTTACTTCAGATGATTTCTGTGTCTTAAATATCAAAGGCTGAACTTGCTCTTATTTATGTATGTTCATGAAAATTTGGTAAATCTATGTTAAGTCTTGTATTTTGTCATTTTCCTTGTCCTTCAGTTATCTGCGCAGCACAAGACAGTTATTTTGCAAGAAAGAAACAGATCGATTTAGTAAATGTCACATATTAAATGCACCAGTTAGTTGGAAAAAACAGAAAAAAACTAAACATATAATATGAAAAAACCATCAGTGTGTTTGTCAGACCATGGAATAATTTTTTGTCATAGCAGGAAAGATTCATCTTAGGAAATGTCTAAACAAACACTGTAATACACTTGTTTGCAAATTACATTGTCACAGTGGGAGTTTAAGGAGGACCGAAATGCTGAAATAAATTCCAGTGAAATGGGGGGGCTGGGGGGGGGGGCTGGAGCAGAAAGGCCTAAAAATCTAATACAAATTAGAGAACAGGGCACAATCCAGAGCTGACATGAAGCCATAAATGAACATGAGGGTATCACACAAAAATCAAAATCTTTGAAAAGCAACAATCAGACATACATAGAAGATTAGCTGGATGGATGCAGGCGAGTGATCAGGAACAGGTTGTAGCGCCCTAATCAAGAGACAAAAGTAGGACTTCAGTGAACAAAAACGTCAACTCGGAAACAGATTTAAAACAGTACAAGGAAAGAAGCAAACTACAGTACATGCAAATAGGGTAAACAAAAACCGAACACAGAAGAGAGATTAAAAGAAAAGCAAACATAACAGCCAAAAATAACCTAAGCAGGAGATTTAAGTCCATATCACATATTATCTAAACCAAAAATCTACATCTAATCAAAGACTAAATCAAATAGCCAAACCTGGTGACAGTTTTACTGTAAATACATTTTATTTTGGTCAGATGGTTTTGACATATTTACTTCCACAGAAGTCTGAGTCAGCCATCTGTTTACTGCCATCTCGGTTCTTTAGAAGTCCTGTGCCTCCCCCAGTCTGCCACAGAGCAAACATACAGCCAACAGGCAAACTGAACCAAAGAAGCCCAGCCGCTCAGCAGCTGTACGGCTGATGCAGAAATTAATAAAAGCCTTCCATCATTTAAACTGCTGCTTTTCCTGACTCGCAACCATCAGTTCTTTGATGAGTTTAATTTTATTCCGATCCTCGTGGACATCTTAAAACAGCTGAATCTCACTGATTTGACCGCTTTGAAACATGGTCTCCAGGCTCTGCACACTCTTTGCTTCATTTTGTGCTTTCATTATCATTATCTTTTTAACAACCTCCACCTCATCTTCCAGTGGAATCTAATCTTTATTGTGCAGCGTTTTTCCTCTGGGGGGGGGGTTGAAAACTTTGCCTCTGGGAGTTCAACTTTTTCTGTAGTCATTTTAAGTGCTCCATGAGGTGCTGGGTGACCTGCAGTGAAGTTTTTCTCATCAGTGTTTTTAAAAGAAATGTCAGTAGACTTTGATTTAGGTGCTTTATTGTTCTACTCTGGGTTAGAACCTGAGTACCTTCAGAGCAAGATGGTAAAGTCAATGTTGAACTAAGAAACCAAATAATACAGTTTCTTGTTCAAATTGTTTGTTTTACTTCCGAGTAGCGTTGTAATATGATGCAAATTCTCTAAATCACCAGAAATCACGTGTTGAAATGATTTTTATTGAGACTAATAGGATCCTCAATGTTTCCAGTTTGTGGGACAAATGTTGAAATGACTCAGCATCATGTGATTCCAATATCTTTACAACAGTGTGTTCCACAAAAACTACAATGAAACTATGAGTTAAAAGTAAGTATTCCTCTTTGCTTGGACATTGTGTTAAATATAATTACTGTAACAAATGATCAAACAATAATTTACTCTGATAGACATTAAGCTACATCGCTTTAGGTTACTTACTGTCATTTGCAGGCAAAACGGTAACAATGTGGCAGAAATTAATTTTATTCCACACACAAACAGAGTCACAATCACCTTAAAATATTAGACAAAGATTTTTGTGTACTATCTGTCAGAAAAGGCGCGGCCACTCAGAGAGTTTTGTCACAGCCTTGCTGCCTGCTGGGGATCATCCGGGTAACATCAATATTGTTGGTGGCAAAGATCTCCCTGGCTTTGTCGATGGTGGACTCCGGCAGGCTCCGTTTCCGACCCAGCACCCAGGCGAAGTCAACATGGAAGAGCCTGAGGACATCGGTGCAGGAATAGACCAGGGCTGAGTTCACGTAGTCAGTGGACAGGATCCAGTACGGGGAGTAGGGAAGGACTGTGGCAAAAAGAGGAGACACAAAGTGGAACGACCAGAGAGCTCAAAACACCAACAAATCAGATCTTTAGGTTTAAACTTCTTGAAATATGCTCAGAATAGTGTCCATTGTCATCAGGGTGTACTGTCATTGTCCCACTCACCATATGAATAACTTATTCCCAGTTTGGCTGGATTCTTAATATCCTCTATGACACCAGTTCCTTCAATTTTCTTCAGTTCTCCTTTTCTGTTTAATTCCACAAACACAAATGCCATGATGGATTAAAGCAAATGCAAACCAAACAGACTAACAATCCTCAGTCATTTGCACCAGTGAATTGCAATTAGGGACTCACAGTATTTCAGAGCTGACTACTCGAATGGAGTTGTCTGTCCTCATGGTGAAATTAGTTTCAATGCAGCGGCCTTTCTCAAACTGGGCCGGCAGTTTGGCAATTTCGAACCATCTCCCCATGAACTGTGAGGAAAGGAACACACCAGTTCACTGTTTCAATTAGAGCAACGTTCGGCGAGACTGTGCATAAATCTACATCCTCCAACGGCCCGGGCAAAATTTACAACACTTCTTCTTTCAATCTTACTCTGTACCAGTGGTGGAAAGTCATTGAATACCTTATTTAGAGAAGCATCGAAGGCACTCAAATTTCCCCTCAAGGGCAAGTCATTTTGTCCTATTCACTCTGGAGCAGCACTTACAGCGTCTGCTTATTTTGTAAGAATTAATATTTAAGCAGATTGACGCTTTGCATTTTAGAAATACTCGTTATGTTGACCTACTTTTTACATTTTTTCCAGATTCATTTCTCATAAATTAAACATGGAAGACAAATTAATGATGTGTATCTTTTTTAACTTGGTAAACACAGTTATGAAACATAATGTTACCACACTAATCACACACATAATCAATTTTTTTAAATGATTTGTATGCATTGATGAGATTGTCCACCTTCCTCAGGTGGACTTAAGAGAATCATTAATGATTATGGACTGCATTATAGACTTTCTATCACATGTAGATGTAAAAATGTAAGGATGTTAATGAAGTTTTTCAATTTATACACAAACACGTTAGAGCAGACGTATTTATGTCTACATAAGGATTACTCTTACGTTTCAGTATTGACTCCTATTAATGATAAAACTCTATTTCCACTTAAGAAAAAGATCAGATTTATTCCTCTTTCTAAAAAGAAATCCTCATTCAATAAATTGTAATACGGTGTATGGCATCAGTATTGATGTGTCATCACTGATGTGTATTCGCTGCTCTATTAAAATTAAATGCCGAAAAAAGATCAATGGAAGCCCTGGGTTAAAAAAGTGAGCTCAGTGGAATCAGTTATTCATTGAAGATGTTTTAGAAAATGAGTTTCTAACCTAAAGGAGAGCAGAGGAAGGACATCATGTCATTTATAGGCAATTTGTCCAGCACACTCTGACCCCTCGCTGTTACCTGTTTGAGGCTGAAGGCCGGTTGAACTGCAGGCTCTGGACAGGGGCCCCAGTGGGGAACCTGAGCCCTGATGACCGGCAGGGTGAGCACGAAAGCCAGAAGAAGAAATGACTTCATGGTAATGACGGGCCTCGTTACCTGCAAAGAGAAAGACAGTCAGAGAAAAAGATTTTATCTCATTGTTATCACAGACCACGTTTTACCAGTAATGATGGTCTAATCTGTTATCTGTCAGTAATTCTATCTCTTAAAAACATCGGCAAGTACATTTCTCTTACCTCTTATTCGTGCTGGTCAGATACGCGCCCTCTCTCTCGTTACAGATTCTGGTTTTTGACTCACAGACGTAGTTCTCCGTGAGGTTTTGCCGTGGTGCTGCTCTGTGCTATCAATGGGACTCTTTGTGTTGAACCAGCTTTATTTCGGACATGAAGTAGACCATTAGCAAATTGAAGTCATGGGGGACATACCAGCGGAAATGTTATAAAACCATCAGGACGTTTTGGTCCAGGTGGGGAGGAGTGAAATTTTTTGTTTATTTGTTTGTTGTGTTTTAATATCCAGATTTATTTAACTTTTTTTTCTAACTGAATGATGTCTTTTTATGGCAGAAAAAAACAGCTGGTGTGTTATTTGAAACATCTTTGACAGACAGAAAAGGAGACAATCAACTTTTCTGTGAGACAACCTGACAAAATGTGACCTGTTGATAATACCCCTATATTTTTGGCTGTATTTAAGAAAAGTCCTTGCATAGATCAGTTTAGTGGACATCTACAAGGAACCCAGTAAACACACAGGAGGTCAGTAGGGGGAGGATTTTTTTTACAGAAAAGAATTAAATCTGAGGGATTGCCCATGGGAAAAGTATGATTTAAAAAAAGATGATTGAAGGCTATATGCAAAAAAAAACAAGCAAAGAAAGAACATGGTCAAAACCTACTCTCCAAGTCAAGACTTCACTTTCAGATTAGCTCTGATGCTTTTCTGTTTTCTCATTATCTGAGTTCCACCAAGTTCAACACAATTAGTAGAAACGACAGAAAATCCAGACCATTTATCCAAATGGCACAGCAGAATTTATTAGCTTAACTTTAAAGATTAACCTGTCATGGGTTTTTGGATTTGGTGGATTTATTTTTCTCCAGTTTAGGTTTTTTTGTAGTTTAATGTCACTTGACGATCTGTGGTTTGTTTTTTTGTTTTACTTTTTGTGATGCTTGTGCTTTTTCTCATTCCAGTTTTGTGTTTTGAATCTAGCTCCTGCACATCATTACAGTTTCCTCTCTGCGTTCTGCCCATCAGCTGGCCTCCCTTCACCTGTGCTAATCACCCTCAGCTGCCACCTCTCAGAAATCACCTCCTCTTTTTTAAAGCTCCATGTTTTGTCTCAGCACACGTCAGCTCCTTGTAGTTTTCACCACTTCAGTTATCCCTTTGTATTTCATGTCCTTGTTTCCGTCATCACGTTTTGCTCTCTGCCTCGTTTTTGTCAAACCGTTTTTGTCATCCCGTTCCTCAAGGTGAGTTTATTGTGTTCTCAGCTTGGTCAAGCCTGTTGTTTCTCTTTTCTAAGTTTAAATCTAAGTTTAGATCTCCTTCAACTGTCGTTTTTTCATGTCTGCTCTCATATTCAGTTCTTCAACATATCCAGCAGACTGAGACAGAAACAACACACCAATTTTTTATTGATGCACATTATATTCAGACGGGCTTATGGGGCTCGAGACCTCATTCAAGTCTAAAATAGGGTAACTTGACAATCAGAAACAGTTAGGTCTATACACATCATCCCTCCATTTTGGTGTGATTACATGCTAGTGCTGTGGGAGCTATTGTTAGTGCGGTTGTTATGAAGGTAAACATAGTAGTTTTTACAGTAGCTTTAAATCGGCTTGTGCATGAGGTGTGCACACAGCTAAAAGAAAAAATATAACTATTTTTGGCATAAAAAAGAAGCCCAGATCTAGAGGGAAATGGATAACTGTTCATCATGTGAACTCTTTTTGCAGGCAGAATAGGGTCTTTTTTTTTTTAAAAAGACACTTCCACAAACAATTAATGTAAATTCATTATTACTGTTTTATTTAACATTAGAACCACAGTGGCATCCAATTCTGTTGTTTGACATTTATTACAAGAACTGCAGTTTAATATGCACTATAGTTTAAACAAACACATTGTCAGCTACATGCAAAAACTATTAAATGTTGTCTGTTTCCAGACAAATCCCCTGGGCTACAAAGAAAAAGGTTAAATTAAAGAGAAAAAAAAGAGATCAAAAGGCTACATTTCTAGTTGATGCACTTCAGAGAGCAATGACTTGTTAGCTGCGGCCGGATACTTCAAAGGCTGGTTAGAAAAGGGATCCTGCTTTCTCCCCGGATGGAAGCAATGAGCTTGACTGGTCAGAGGATCAAGGACAGAATCAAGCTCACAGCAACCATGCTACACGATAAAGAGGAAACATCAAGGGGGTGAGGGGTATCAGAGATGCGCAAGTGTATTCTAACAGACTTCTAAAGACACTTTGTGCTCGTCTTGATTTCATCAAACAAGTTCTAATTCAATTTGAATCTTTTCTGGTTTGAACTCTTGTTTTTTTTTCTCAAATGAATTCAGTATCTTTTGTTGTAGCCAAGACTAAATTGAAAAAGTCTTTAGTTTTAGTCTTTTCTTCTGTATTTGTAAATGTATTTGTGAGGGTGCACAGAAACACATGCATTAGTAATTGAGCTGCTATTTATCACAAGAACATATTTGTCCCATATTTGATCATAAATGGGTATTTTGTGTACCAACTGCATCATTTTCAAGTCCAGACTCTCAATGACTATACTGTTGATACAAGGCTTAGTAGCATCGTGCTCTAATGCATCTCTTTTCTGCACGGCATTGAGAGAAGCTGAAGGAGCACTCCAGCCCATCACAGATGGATATCTATGTATAGCTTTGCCCGTCCTGCTGGCCCAACTGTGACCACTCTCAAGGCTGAAGTGACTGGACTTTCATCCACTAGGGGGCAGCACAGGAAGCTGATTATTCGGTCAGGCTCAGAAGCCAGATGGAAAACCATGCGACTTTTCATAACATTTGTGTTTACTAGAATAAGATTATTACAATTAACATTGCATCATAAACTAAGATTGCAACTGTTCATTTTTCATCTTTTTCGAGCCCTCTTTGATACTGCTATGTTCCCAAATATGCTTGGAGACCAGTCAATCAAACATGTGATCAGACATGTGGCTGTAAAAGGACTCTTCGGGACATGGGGGTAAAAGCTCCCGGTATCAGATGCTTTGGTAATACACAGAGTGGTGTGACAGCGGAGGTCACATGTCACCACATACGCCGTACATATCTCACCAGTGCTCGTGCAGCTGTGCACACACTCATGCCGAAGGTTAAACATGTGGCGGAGAACATTCCTGAAAAATATCCCTGTTACGCATGTACACATGGAGCTTGAGAATATTTCCTTCTGCTGAGGGACAACAGAGGGGACAACTTCATGCTCAGCCTTTGCCTGACAGCTCCCAGAATTTCAGCTATTTCTGTATTCAGAAAACACGTTTTAGAAGTCCGTTTGTTTGTTTGTTTTATTTTACACCTTCAACAATAATGTCTAAGGATAAAGTCCTTTTTATCGTTCAAGCTTACATGTGTCTAATGAAGAACGCTGCAAGTTCCTGCTTTCATGTTACCCAGATGCTAAAATAATGTCGGTTTCCGGTTACAAAAGGGGTATTGCACACATAGTAATATCTATGCAACACAATACAAAGTCCAAACCAATAGAAGCTTATCTTGTATTGTTAAAAAAGTTACAGGCCAAACAGGGCCTGTACTTGTGTACAGTAACCTGCAACCCAGACTGTTTGGGACTCAGGATCCAGAGATACTTAAAAGTCCTTAATTGAAGAAAGTGTGAAAGCATCTCATTCTATTGACAAGATTATGTTTAAATAAACCAACAATTCGAAACACTTCCAAATACTCAAAAGGGTTGAGTAGGATTTCTCAAGCTTGTGAATGTATTTTGAAAATTATCGGTTTCAGAGATTTTAGAAACACAACCCGTTCAGTGCATTTATGATAGAGCTACACATCTGCATTCTGAATCATTCAAAGCGTCAACCTCTGAGCTCCAGTGGTCCAAAATATTATACAGATTATAGGTGAATTAAACAGGTTTCTGTATTTGAACCATTGAATTATGTTTTTTTTTTAAAGGATTCTTTGTTGCATGTATTAAGCTAAACTCCCTGTATTCATGGCCAACACATTTGTTATTAACTATCCATTAACTGTTTTTTACTGTCATGTTTGCAAAGAATATTTGTTTAAACTGACCCAGGGGTTTCCAGCAACAAAGACAAGTTTATGGCTGTGATCATTTCTCAGGTGAAAATATGCAGTTTTCCATGGCTGTATTTACCTGATTGATTAGCAAAGGATCGATGTGAAGGCTGAGCCCAAAACTACTCTGTCGCACATTACAGTTTAACCAAGAAAAATCTTTACAAGGACAAAAAGAGGTTCATTTATCTCTTGCCTTGCAAGCCCTTGTGTGGCTGCAAGAGATGACAGTCTTAACACATTTTTCTGAATTAAAAGCAGTTTCATGAGACTACAGTTTTGTTATCTAATGCATTTTTATATAAAACATCACAGTAGTTGTGACTCTGAATAGCTAGAGTAGAACCACTCCTCTGAGGGGGCTTTATTAGTAATGACGCCATCCAGTTTTGCAGTGAAGTTAAACAGATCACACAGTATATGGAGGCACTATCCTCTGGCTGGTCACCATTAAGTCCCGTTTGCATCATTGTGAACTTAAAGCAACCCTGAATGGTTCTGAATACCCCGAGCTTCCAGAGACACTCCATAAGAGACAAAGGCAGGACATCATCCTTTGTGTAGGACATTAAACAAACGCTGAAATGCAGAACAGGCACCTGAAGTCAGGGATGAGCCATCCCTCATCTTTACCACGATCGCTTTGGAATCTCGACAATCCCTAAATTAGAGTCCACAGTCTTCTGCTCGGGGCGGCGAGTAAACATGTAGAGATTCTTTTATATACTCATAATTCGTTAGCTCGAGTTCAGTTTTTGGAGGAGGCATAAGAGCGCTTGAGGGCTAGGGAACTAACACTCTAACATTAAAATACCTTCTGTCGCATGCTTTATAAATCCAGAACTTTTGAAAGCACTTTGCTCTAATCTTGCTTCATATGAAAAAGGATTAAAAGTTACATCTTCAACAATTAAACTTAAAAAAGAGAAAGCTCACTTCACCCGACACATAAAGATAGGAGAAAGAGTTTTTGTACTTTTTATTTTATCACAATTTGAGGGATGAAAATGAAATTATTCTTAAATCAAACTAACCCAAAGCGACATCTAGCCTCTGAATTGAACTCAATGGAAAATGAATTTCCTTAGTTCACACAATATAGGATTGCTTTTACGAGTCTGCTCTGATACTGATGCCCACTCCGGGAAATCTTGTTTATTTATTCTTCTATGTAACTTCAGATTTCTTCTAGAGTTGAAACAGCAAATATTAATAAAGGAGAAGCCTTCAGTTGGGTCCATTACAGAGGTGCGGTTTGATGACCAAACTGCCTCAGGTCACTGATCTGTTTGAGCACTGCATTTATTTGAGCAGGTGCCATCTTTCACACACACTCCCCCTCGTCGTCACATAGGAGGGGAACCCAGGAATGTGATCAATAACAAACCAACAAGCTTTAAAAAGCTCTCAAAACTAAAATGCTTTGCGCATTCGGGTGAATCCAGGTGAGATAACGGTTGGTTTTCTGTTCACCTTAGCTCAGCTCACGCCTCCTGTTCTTTGTTTCTCCTGCTGACACTCAAAGACCAACTCGTGAACTAAATGAGATTTCTAAACTTCTGCTTTTTCCTTTTCAGGTTGAGGTGAGAAGATGAAGGTCATTCAAGTGATTTCCGTGACTCTGCTGTTTGTTATCGCAGCCAGTGCTCAGGTCCTGAAAGCTGGAAGGTGTCCAAAGCCTGCTGTTCAGTCAAACTTTGATGCTTCCAGGGTGAATACATATCTTATTCTGCTCAAGAGACTGTTTTACAACCACCTTCATCTTCTCTGTATGAACATGTGTTTTTCGTCTACAGTATCTGGGTAGGTGGTATGAAATCCAGAAACTGCCAACATCCTTCCAGAAAGGGCAGTGCAGCAATGCCCTTTACACCCTGAAGGCTCCGGGAGTCATTGGGGTCCTCAACAGTGAGCTGCTGTGAGTAAACAACAATACCATATATGTTATTTTAAAACTGCTAAATTTGTCTTTGTTTTTTGAGAAACTTGTATTTTTGTCTAACCCCCAACCAAATAAAATCATTTACAAGATGATGTAAATGATGCAGACCTTATTCTTTACCTTGCATCAGAATTATTTAGTGATTCAGAGGATACATTGTACATCCAGCTTTGAATGACTTCCTGCTTAAGCTTATTTTTCTTTTAGTGATGATGGAACCGTTAATACCGCCATTGGCACCGCCAAAGTCAAGGACCCTGCTGAGCCTGCCAAGCTGGAGGTCTCCTTCTCTGAGTGTAAGACAGTTGAAATCATTATATCTAACCTTACGTTCACGGTCAGTCGGTCATAAACACTTGTCTTGTCCTCTGGAGTTGGCCCCCCTGGTCCCTACTGGGTCCTGTCCACTGACTACGAAGGTCACTCGCTGGTCTACGGCTGCACCGACTTCGGCCTGTTCCACATGGAGCTTTCCTGGATCCTGGGCAGGGAACCCACCATGCCAACGGAGACCATTGAGGAGCTGCACAGCATCCTGTCCTCCATCGGTACACCCGTGGACAAGATGGTCCCCACCATCCAGGATGAAGGCTACTGTGGCGCCATGAACCAGTAACTGGAGATGCACCAGCTTAAACCTGCAGCCCTCTGACAAGTGGGGGGGGGGCAGCTTCTCCAAACTCCGGACACTGGTCATTACAATAAACCTGAAAAACAAACATGTTTTGTGCTGGCCATTTTTATTCTGAACTGACGTATTAAGTATGAATGGTGTATTATTTTCTCTTGGAGCAGAACTGGCACTGACATAGTGGATCTACAGCATGTTCATATGTGGATAAGTCCTTTAGGAAAACATTGAGCTCTGAGAGCATTTTATTGATGTGTCGTGGATGAAGGAAAATACTGCCAGACATGTAGAGACTACACAAGGAGTCCTATACATATAAAATGCATCACACAGCATGGGCCAGGTTAAAAAAACAATTGCAGACAATTTACTGCATAACAGAACTTCTAGCTAGATTCCTGGTCAAAATATCTGTAGTTTTGTGTCTGGGCTGTGGGTGGTCATTCACATTGTGAGTTTCTGCTTTAAATTTCTGCTGGAGCCCCTCTGTTTGAGACTTTCATGTTCCCTCCAGGTACTCCGGGTTCCTCCTACCATCCAAAAAGATGCTTATTAGGTTAGTCGATCATTCTAAATTTTCCATAGAAAAAAGATTGGTCACAGTTCCAGTCCATCAAGGGCCCTTGTAATGGACTGGAGACCTGAGCTGAATAGATGGATAGATCATTTGTAAAATAAATTAAATATTCATTGATTTATTGGCGATGTCAGTTTAGAGGCCGCACTTTGTTTTCATTTTGAACTCTACTTGATTTTAGAGATATGTCTCTGGTTTACCCTACACTCATGTGAATAAAACAGGTTCTTACTAAGAATTCTGCAAAGAATACAAAAGATTTTTACTCCTATAACCACTGTGTTATTACCTTTTAAGTTCTTTGGTATGTCTTGGCAATTGTCAGTTTTGTATAACATCAAAGCACTATAAAGATCAAAAGACCAGCAAAAACCAGTATGTTTGTTTCAAGGATTCCGATTTTATTACATCTTTGATGAGGAATACTCAGTCAGATTTAGACACTGCTGTTTGAATTTACTAGTTCATAGGACTGCAGTAAGCTTCATCCTGGTTGGTGTCGAGAAGCTTGTCAACACGGACGCCGAGGGAGTTAAGAGTGCTGTGCAGCTCCTCCAGGGTCTCCTCTGGCAGAGTGGGCTGCCTGCTCAGGATCCAAGTGAAATCCACATGGAGAAAACCGAGGTCAGTGCAGCTGTAGACCAGGGCGTAGTTGTCGTAGTCGGTGGACAGAACCCAGTAGGGAGCAGGGGGAGAATCTGGAAGTGTGAAGGGACAGAACAAGGTGTTTTTAACATCTTTCTCCATGTTTTCCACGTGTTTATAGACACAGCTCAAACGCTATTGGGAGTCCATACTCTCAAAGAAGTACACCAGCAGCTTGGCAGGCTCAGTGGCGCTGGGCTCAGCAGTACCAATAATTTCATCAACAGTCCCATCGGCACTGAAAGAGATAAGAAATTAAGACATCCCAGAGTTATTTTCCAACGTACAGTAGACTATAACAACTTTATGTTTTTAAAGTTCATGTCATCGTCATAAAAGTGCACAAAAGTGATTAAATGTCTTCTGTTTGAAGGGAATCCAGGTGACTGAAAGACAGTACTCACAGGAGCTCTCTGTTGAGAACACCAACAACTCCAGGGCTCTTCAGGCTGTAGGTGGCAGTGCTGCACTGGCCTCTCTGAAAGGTGTGGGGCAGTCTCTGGACTTCGTACCATTTACCGAGATACTGCAGAAGAGCCATAAAAAGTCAAAGTCAGTGTTACTGATGTGCGACAGAATCATTTCCATTTTTTGGGGGGTTATGTTCCATATTTAAGTATTCCCACCGCTGCAGCATCAAAGTTCTGCTGAACAGTGGCACTGGGGCATCTCCCAGGCATGATGACCTGAGCGTTGGCTGCCAGAACGGACAGCAAAGTCACCGAAAACACCTGGATGGCATTCATCTTTCTCCACAACCTTTGAGAAAAAATACAAAATAGAAAGTCCAGTTATTCCGTGATATACAAAACAACTCATTCTAAATTTGTGACAGTAAGAAAATAAATAAATGGGGTTGTTGAGCACCTGTTTTACTGGGTAGCAGTGAAGTTCAGTGTATTGATGCCATATTTATAGAGACGATGTGTCATAACACCTCTATACTGTTTGCATGTCAGGTTATCTTTAAAGGGTTGTGTGAGATATTTGGCAGCTGTTTTTATGTATTTAGCTTTGAAACGTGGCCTTGTCCAGAAAAAGAATGACAAGTGTTTTGTTTTTCATGCAGAGCTTGAGGGCAAATAGGTCAAGAGTAGTACTAATAATAACTAAGTGAGTTGCAAGATAAGGACCCTGACTGGCTGTGTGGCTACCTGCATTGTAAAGTGTTTTTTTTAACATAGTTTCCTGAATGTGTGTCTAAATCTTTGTAGCTGGCTCACCTATGTTTTACCTTCTGTGAAATTGAACTACCATTAGCAAATCGTAGCTCAGTGACAAAGAGAAAAATATGTTTTTGAAGAACAACAGAAATAAATGGATTATTGATATTTTAAAAAAGACTGAGAACTATCTCCGACGTCTTGTGAAACATTTTTTGAATTCTGTAAATCAACGCGCGAAAGCATGCTGACTTGATATGCTGAATTGGTTTCTTATCAAATAATAACAGCAACCTAATCTCTTCAAATATGTGGTTTACCTTTTATCACCCCTCAGGCAGCACTGCATTCAATTGTATTGAAGTTAAACTAATAATAGGCCTTTATCATGTAAAGAATAAACACGTGCTGACATGGTCCTTAAAATTTTCTCTGTTTGAAAGTTCATTTAAATTGGAACAAGATCATTTGGAAAGCTTTTGTGTGGTCAGTCAAACATGAAATTTGAATTAGTTTTTAAAGATTCATTCATTCTACATTTTGTAGAAATGAGGAGGAGACAGACCGCTCGGCTTGTTATCAGCCTTAGTTTGCATCTCTGATAGTTAGGGTGTTCTTAATGAATTTACTAGGTATGATTTCTAAGTGTGATTCCTTACTTGGAAATATATAAAGACGTTCTCCCCAATACATGTAGACTTACTTATTGAAATATATACCGCATAAAACATAATCAGTGAAAGGCAGTGGGTTTTCTGTTTTAATGATTCATATTGATCAGTCTCATTGTAGAAAATTGTTCTTAACAATCTAGCCATTAATCTTAATCATTCAGTCTATTTTTTTACCTTTCTCTGTGAAGCACACTGTAAAGTAAGATAGAGATATATAAAGTTATCTTATTGATGGATGTTTTTTAAAAAGAAACCAGGAAACACTGCATTTTCAGCCTCTCAATAGACAAAAACATTTTTTTATCGACTTCTCATTATGATAGAGAAGTATCTAAACATTTTTGTAAAAATGGTCCCTACCAGCGTCAATGTTTGAGTTATTAGATCTTTCGATTTTCAACCATTTTCTACACCATGTTCTGTTTCAGGGATTCTTAAGAACCCCACTATCCAGGATCTCACAGTAATCAAGACCTAAACAAGATTTCCCACAGGGAGGACGTAATGCTTCCAACTTAGAGGGATTACAGCTTATGTGCGGTCGTCATTTGACAGGAAGAATACATGAAATGGAGGCGATCCGGACACCAGATTGTTGCTGTAATTAGAAGATGGATGGTGTCTCGGTCTCCACTGACCCAGTGAATTTATAGCCAGGTCTGTTTGTTAAGGTTAAACCTGTTCTGATCCCTTCGCCTCACTGTGACTCCTTAATGCTGGGTGCAAACAACACGGACAGAAATCCCCTGTAAAAAGCTTACACCTGAGAGATTCTTAAATTAGCGGTTTAGATGTCCTAAAGCCCTGTTCTCTTAGCTCTTAAGATTTTTTTTTCACAAAAACTCTACTTTTCGCTCCATATACACAATCATAACGCAAAGTTGACACCGTGACAACTTTGATTTTTTTAACGTTTTTTTTTCTCAATATTCTATCTTGCCATTTTCTGCAGAAAAAATAATGACCTTCCATGTTTTCAAAAAAGTTTGCCGGAGGTTTGTCATAACAAATTTGAATGAAAAGGAAGAACATGAAAGAAAATGGAAAAACTAAAGCAGTGAAAGAACAGAAAAAAATTTGATTTCTCTTTGTGTTTAGTGAAAAATACGGCCATTCCATCCTTTTGTGTAGAAAAGACGGTTGATTAAATGCTCAGAAACATTGGAATTTATCCCTTCTGTTGCATCCCATTGTGGCTGTAGAGAAATATGTACCTGCTTCAAAGCAGATAACCTTCTCTATACGATTCGACCGTGACAGTGAAGCTGGTCTGTGGGGTTAAAAAATAGCTAAGAAATACATCATATATTTCGTAGAACAGCAGGTAGATCATTGAAAGGGTTGAATGAAAGACGGTCAAGTTATTAAAACTATTGTTCAACTATGTGGACAAATCAAGGCCAGAGCAGCCCTGGTGTGCAGAACGGTAACACACAATGGATGATCAGGGGTGGTAAAAGTGGAGGGATTTCTTTATATGCCATATATTGAGTCTGAAAAGAGCCCTCTTTTCGCTTTTTGAAGACATGCTGTCAAGGCTATGTTTAACATAACGATCTGTGTAATGATGACTGATTTCCACACGTATATTAAGCCAAGTTGGCATGAATTCATGCCAACCTGTCGCGTGCCACGAAGCAGCAGATACCGTCTAAGTAAAGCTGCCATTGCCTTGGAAGATCAGTAAACGCATTGATGGTTACCTGCTGAATAATTCTTCCACATTTTGACTGTACAGCTATGACTCTTCAGTAATATTTTAAATCAAATTATCACAGTTAGTTTGGCCAAATGTTTTGAGCTCAACACTCTTGATCTGGCATTAATTTAGTGACAAGGTCTTTCAGGCTTTGTGCAAGGAACATATTAAATGTCTCTGTTACTTAACATTCTTTATAGTTTACACAAAATTAACAACACACATATATATATATGCATTTGTTTGCTGGAGCAGACTTATTAAGTAGATCTGGTGCATTTTAAGGCACACCTTTATTGGAATTAAATTTCCCAAGGAGTCACAAGGATTCAGATGTTACTTTTCCAACAAGTAATGCAATATGTCCAGTTGTTTTTTATTAACAGTAGTAATCCTGTAATCTAATTAGTTGTATTCAGAAATAATCTCACTCATCAATGCTCATTATCCAAAGCCTCCATTCCTCATCTTAACGAACAAGAGCAGAATCATTTCCAGCCACTCTTTCAGCCCCGTTGAAGATGTGATGTTCAACGACGTGCCAGTTTGTCCATTAATCTGTTAAATTTAATAAAAAATCTGAGCCTATCCTCACCAAAATTCCATTTCCACCCTGATGAGGAGAAGCACCATTTGGAATTAGCTGCAGCCATTATCCAGGTTCCAGGTACTGTTACTCCTTTTCTTTTAAATTCCCTCGCGAACAGAAGAGACAAAAAAAAGGACCAGGAATTTTCGTTAAAGAAAAAGGACTTAAAATGACATCACAGTGATGATTTTCTGGCCGGAAAGGGCGATAGATTCTGATATTTTCTCCAGCATTTTTTAAATGTAATTTTTCATTCCATCCATTGTCTTGCTTATTTCTATAACGTTGTGTGTGTGTGTGTGAGTGTGTGTGTGTGTGTGGGGGGGGGGGGGAGCAGTCCATCACAGGGTCATATTGAAACAAAAAAACACACTCACATTCATTGCCAGGGGCAATTTGAGGTCTTCAATCGAGCAGATTCATATTTTTGGACTTACCAAAAAAGAACCTACACCTACACAGGGAGGACTGCAAACTCCACACAGAAAGACCCCCTCCCCAGAGCATTAATTTTTCATTATAAAGACAAAATTGTATAGCATTTAGAATAAAAAGTAGATCAATGACTAATAATTCTGGACTATATAGGAATGCATTGACTGAACATGAAAGGGTTGATATAGAACTTGGGGAACAACTCAGCAAATGATGACTTGATGTGGTGCCCAGCAGGTGCAAACGACTAAATGTTGTATTCATGATTAACGTAGCAGTATATGGACCTTAAGGTTTACTCAATTCTCTAAAGGTCCTTTGCTGTTTTACAGACTGAGGAGGGATTCAAAAGCCCCACACAGCCCCCTTCCCCTCCACATCGCGTCTGCTGCTTGGCTACATTTCTTACCAGCTCACCAACTGTGCACACCTAGCTGCCCACCAGGCATTAAAGAACACATCATTCAGAGAAGTGCAGCCCCATGCTGTAAGCTTGGTGAGCACAAACTGTCAGATTAAGAGGTCTGAGAGGATGATCCAGCCAACATTCAGTCGGATTTCTGGCAAATTACCACCAAGTATGTTTGGGTCAGCTATTTAGCACCCTGGGGAGCACAACACTTCTGACTTCCAAACAAGACATAAAAAAATATAGACTCATATGTTGGATTGTTGAGTTGGCAGCCAGCATCGTGCGAGTTCTCTGCATGATGCCACAGAGCAGCGAGTGGGATGTTGACCATTTTGCCACTGGAAAAGGAAGCTAAGCATTTAGGTGTCTTAACCATGGCCTAAAGTGCTAACAAGGGATTAGTGAGGTAAACGTTGAAAGAGGTTTAGCAGCCCATGCTTAGGACCAGTGTTGCTTCGGTAATTACACTTCAGTTGCAAGGTGCAGGAAGCGGTTGGATGGGAAATCATAGTGATGTCAGGACAGGGAGGTCTTACTGCAGGAGATAAGGCCAGCTAATGGAGATGAAATGAATCGGTATTTAAAAGGTCTTTTTTAGTTAAGGCACTTGGCTGGAGGCAGATTGAGCTCAAATCAGTCGGCAGGCCAGTTTGATTCACCACAGTTGGGAGTGAAAGAAGGAGAGTAGAGACACGGGTTCTCTTAGATCTGAAAAAGAATTTCTGATCGCATTTTTTACTTGTATTTTTCTACTGTTTTTTGGTTGTTTTTGTTTTTTGTTTTTTACATAACTGGGACAAAACCATCTCTGATCTCTGTAAACCATTCTGAACTTGAAGGTAAGACAAAATCATGCTTTTTTTCTCTATTTTCCATCAAGGTTTCACTTTTTGTCTGATTTTTTGTCGGTTTGTTTCTTGTTCTGCTTTTAGTTTCTGTAAAATCCCAAAATCAAGATAATGAAATTTTGAGTATTATGCAGAAAGAAATTGTGTATTACAATTCTACAGACCCGTTACTGTTTAGTGTAGCAGCTACAGATGGTATGAGCATTGAACTTTATAAAAACTATCGATATCATGGTTATGGTCATTGTGATTAAAAGGAAAGCCTGAAATCCACAAATATCACAAAATCATTATGGAAAAAATAGGGATGAAAAAAAAAAACATGTTCGCTCATCATTTTATCATGCAAGCTTGTGACCACTAGAAATTCCTGAATCTATAATACCTGCAGACCAGCACTTATTGTGGAAGAATCAGAAAATCTAATCTGCTTCATGCAACTGATTAAATTTGCATGGCTTTGGCTTGTGTATGTTGTGTTGGGGATTAGAACGGGCTAGACACTGCTTCTGTCTTGTCTGATATGACCTCCTCAGGGCTCCATGTAAGTTGTCAGCAATTTTTCCCTTTAATTCATTCTTGTAATGAGATTAACCAGGCAACAGCAAATCCAAGGAGTCCAATCCCCGGATTTAGCAGCTGCGGTGTGGCCTCTGCTCGCCGAAGCAATACGACAGGGGTTTCATGTAGCTCACCTTTGGAGATGGTTTCACTGACAAAATGCTAAAAAAAAACAAAAAATCATCATTTTTTTACATTTGAGATTTACTCACAACTAAAGAAGCAGGGCTAAGGTGAGTTTTCAGGTTGTGCTCCATTAACCATTGGTCAATATTTAAAGTAGAGAGGCCTTTAGAAAGCTCTGGCCCATACAGAAGTTTCAGTTTATGCAAGTTTGTGTATTCATGCCCTATTTGCATCATAGTCATAGAGCTGAGCATCCTTTTCATGATTGCAGACTGGGCAGCTTCTGGAAATGATGGAAGGGCTTAGTCTTTTTTGTTGTTCTGCTTAACCCAAGGGGCTGAATGTTCCTTTTGCCACACAATGAAAACAGTTTATTCGGTTATACCCCCAGCTTGTGGCTCAGAGTTTCCAGGAAAATTGCATAATCTTTGAAGAAACTGCAATCCAGTTTAAAGCTAAAAAAACAACAGCAAAATGGTGTCCAATTCAGAGCTCTCTGACTTTATTGATATTTATGTTTATGATCCTGTTTTTGTTCTAAGATGGCGCAACTGTATCTAAAGATTTTTAGCTTGAGAAACAAAACTGACCTAAACAGTTATTGTAACCTTCAGCGGTAAAGTTATTGTATGTATTTATTTTTTTTTGTCATTTTAAGAAGTTTAAAAGTAATTTTTACTTAAGTGTTGCACACATGTATGTTGCAGTATAAATATGTTAATATATGGTGATTGGTGAATATATTCCCTTTTTTATTTGGGAAATGAGATTCTTCTGTGAGCTCCACATTGTTATTGCATCGGTAACTCATGAGTGTGACAAACTCCTGCCAACACACGCCACTGTTTTTCACGCGGTTTGGGTGCTTGTTTTCTGACGGAAAAGTTTGACTTTGAGATGGAGGAAAGTTATTGCTCAGTCAGCATATTGACTAATTTACTTAACTAAGATTTAACAGTTGGCTGTGTGAGCAGCTATGCCCAAAGGAAGTTATCTTGTCTGTCAAATTTACTGATGTCTCGTCATGTAGTTTTTAAAGGGATATTATAACACGGAGCTTAGTGCCAACTTAAATGATGTGACACAAATGTAAAAAGTAGCATTTGTTCTCATTTGCTGATGTTAGCTGTTGTGACATTGGTTGAGACGGGGTTGGAGGGTGCGTGTGTTCACACCACATAGCTCCACATAAACCGATTGCATCCTCAGATTTATCCCCAAGGTGTTTTTAGGACATCCAGGGAGCTAATGGAAACTAATAGGCTTAGCACTTAGAGGTGTATTGTTCGGGATGCTTACTGGCAAGGTTTGCTGAGGGTAAAACTCTAAACGTGCGGATTACCTCCAACACATCCCTTTAAAGTGCTGTATAGCCAGGACTTAGCTAATAGGATCTTGGGGGTAGCAGGGGCCTGGGAAGGTGGGAATGGGGGTTGGATGGGGCAGGAAGGTCAGCAGATGCAGGCAGCAGACTGTTGCAGGACTAACAGGAGGATTACAGCCCTCAGATTACACGGGTTTCAGAGGGAACTTGAGGGACTCTGGATAATGCACAGAGCCTTGAGGCAAATCTTATGGTAGCATATGTCTGGGGGAGGGGGTAGCAGAAATAAAAATGTAAGCAGTTAACATACAATCCCACACTTACAGACATATATAAAATAATATATAAAATAATTATCATTATTACATGATGATAATTAGAAAAAGTGTTTAGTTCTTTTTCTGTAGTGTGCATTTATATGAGTCTGTCCAGATGCATGTTGCAGACTGGCCTTGGATTAAAAGAACTGGATTAATGTGTCATTTACAGTATCATATTTTCTAATGGGATTTCTGTAGTGTCGAGGGCTAATTGGAGGAGCCTAAGTCGATTGTGCTCATGAACACAATCTTGTTTCGGCCAAGAACATTGTGTCTGTTTCGAACCAGAGTATAGCAATACGTATGGTGACCAAAGTTGTTTGCAGGATGGAGAAATAAGGAAAATTTAACAGTAAAGAAGCGCTTTTTCTGGGAAACCCATGGGGATGGGATTGGGATTTACAGGTTTAGGATCAGTTTGCATTACAGTGAAGGTTAGGTTTAAGGTGGGGTTAAGATTAATAGTTAATGCTCGAAAGGTGAGAGTAAGGCTCAGAGGTTATCGTTAGCTGCGCATAGATTCTTCGGGCTTTTTATCATTTCAAAAGGCCTCTCAGAGGTCATTTTTTTATCTCTTCATCTTTTCAATGTTATTGCAAGATTTTCTAGTTGATATGCTAAATAGTAACTATTTATGCATTTGATGTAAGAGTCAAGATAGAATTTACATTTTCATCTGTCATCTACTTTACTAAAGTTATTCATAACACTGCTGCTTTAGGTCAAAGTTGAATAGATAACTGCTGCCCTCTAGTGGTGATGAAAGGAAACTACACACATTTACCATCAGTTCTGACCTGTCATTTGTCTGAGCAAATTGAAATAATTCTGGTTTAACTCCTATCTCACTTTAAAAGATTTTAGAGGGGAACAGTGGTGTGCATGTCATGACCCCACGGGAGCAGCTGAGGAAGATGACAGCGCTGGGGGAACAGGGCACCCTGGATGAGAAGCACTGGTATCGGCTGGTGAACGGCATGTCGGCTGGAGGTGAGAATGAGCAACATGCAAGCATTAAAGTATACATATACGTACATATACGTACACATATACGTACACATTGTATAAATGAAATTCTATCTCTTTAGCTTGACTCCCAATTGGAACAGATCTTGTAATAATATGGAGATCCAAACTGTTTAGATTAACCATATGACCTCATATGAAGCATCAAATTGATTTTGGTGGATTGCTCATGAGCACATGCAGGCCCCAGCTTTGGCAGTCGGTGCAATTTCAGAGTTTGTTGTCAAACTGCTCTCCATCTGACTTGAGGTTCTCCTATTGCTCTTCCAGAGCTGAGGCAGAGGCAGGAGATGATAATGAGGAACCAGATGGCCATGGCTCCACAGATCCTTGCCCAGGGGCAGCAGAGATTACAGGGGGTCCCAACACAATTCGAGTCCCGCTTCATGGAAAGGTGTGTACCTTAATTTGCTCACTAATAATACAGGCTTGGTGCAGAGGATTTTTATGTGAAATAAAAAGGTTTCAAGCCCATAAGACGCCATAGCAATCGGCACCACATCATGATGAAAATAACACATTTTTTCTTAATTTTCAACCTATTCTCAGGGAGTTGGTTCCTTCTAATGAAATCGTTGCATCAGATGGAAGACAAATGCACATGGGACCTCACCTTGGTCCCCCTCTTCCTCCTCATGCCAATGTCCTACCTGGCAGAGGATTTCCTGGACCAGGTGAGCACAGGAATTGCATCCAAGATCATTTAGCTGTCACACGATATAGAATTAAAAGATGAGGACTGGCAGTGATCACCTGTCTCTTTTTCTGTTCTTTCAGCTGGCTATGGCTTCTTGCCTTCAGAACCCATGGAAACAGTTGCCCGGCGACAAGAGCTCATACACAAGCAAAATATAGCCAGGTATAAATTTCATCGGCATCTCACAAAAAAAATATTCCACCCACATATTCTTCTGAATTAAACTAAGTCTTAAACCAACTGTCTTGTTTTATGTTGTGCTTATTTCATAACTGTTGAACATGAGTGACAAAAAAAAAAACTTATGTGCACTCCTTTACAGAATGGAGATGAACGCCATCCTGCATCAGAAAGAGCTGGAGAATGCTCACCAGAAGGGACTTATGGGAATTGATAATCCTATGTCATATCCCTCCAACCCCATGCTGTTCAGAGGTCGTCAGCGCGTGCCAGACGGCCACGATGTCTTTGTCCACCGTCCCTCCCTGGATGACTTGCATTCCAACAGTATACTCATGTCAGCCAGCCCTTACCCACCAATCAGCACACTGCAGAGAGAAAGGGGCCGGCGGGCAGGAAGAAGGCCGACTGTTCACAAGAGTACAGACAGTCAGGTGTCCAACCTGAAGGGCCAGTCTGAGGATAAGAGTGTGGAGCAAAGCCCAGAGGCTACATCTGGAGAGGAGAAAGAAATAGAAGCAAAAGGGGACATGGGAGAGGAGTGCTCTGCCAGTAAGACGCACCATCAGGCCAAAATAGACTCGGAAATCTCTACAGCAAACAGGAAGAACTACAAAGAGGGGGAGGCCGGCTTGCGCAAGGCCTGTGGAACCAATCAAGATGGCTGTTCAGATGTGACCAACGGTGGTGCAAATGATAAAGATATATCCAGCCAATGTTCGGCTTTCCAGGAGAAATTCATGTACCCGTCCACTGGTGGAGCCCTGACAGGGATGCCATACATGTTCCCTGTCCCTGGGAATGGCTTTCTTCCACCAGGTCAGTTAGGGTGAAAATATCAGCATGTTAACAGTGTTCAGAAATAAGTTCAATTAAATAATCTTCCTCATGTCTTTCTGTTCTAAAGGTCCACCAAATCTCTTTATTAATGGTGATGAGGCGCCAGAAGACATAAGAAAGTGGACAGTGAATGATGTTTACAACTTTATTAACAGCATACCTACGTGTTCAGAATATGCACAGGTGGGTACCTGTCATAATTTGATTGTTTTGTCTGTTTTGTTGATTTTGTGCTAATGGAGATGCTCTCCCCAGATTTTCAAAGATCACATGATTGACGGTGAGACCCTGCCCCTCCTTTCAGAGGAGCACCTATTGGACACTCTGGGGCTCAAACTGGGACCAGCTCTGAAGATCCGCTCACAGGTACATAAGCCAAACCTCTACCAAAAATATATCACGTGATCCTCAATGAAGAGAAAACGATTGAAAGGGATCTAAACTTGATGAACAAAGCTCATTTTCTGAAATTGTTTCCACTTGAACCAAATCCTATCAGTTTCATCTATTTGGAGCCAGCATTTTTCCAAACTGAATTCAAAACTCGAGTTGCTTATTGTCAGCTCAGTTACGCCAGTCAAACCATGTAAGAAGCACAGCCAAACAAAAACTATTGTAAAATAATCATCAAATAGTTGAATAGCAGTACAAACAAATGTACAAAAAATATAAAAGAAGCAGACCCGCTGAATTTATTGGCTTTATGAATATCTATGATATTTTAAAAATCCACTTCTGAGAGTGGGAATATAATGTTTGATAAATAATAGTTGTGAACAACAAAGGGTTTTTTATCATGACCATCCTGAAAGAAGATTTCCTCACTCCGATTCAGGTGTCCAGACGCCTCGGCACCATGACCTACATGATGAACCTACCACTCTCCAGCACAACCCTACAAGCCACGCCTGAGAAACCCGGGGAGCGCTCCCCAGAGTTGGGCTCCCCTGTCAACTGCAACAGTGAGGACATGTTGGCAAGTCCACGAGACCCTGATGTCCTCAAATCTACTGAGCAAATCCATGAGGCAGAAAACAATTCACCCCCATCTGCCAGCAGCGAGACAGCCTGATTGGTGCTGAGGAGGTTGACAAATGCGCACTGAACCAAGTTCTATCTTCACCCTCAAAGACCAGAGGAGCTGCCTCTGAGGAGGAATGTGCACATAGTGATTCATTGGACTGAATATGCTTTTCTTTTTTTTTTTACTTTTACACAGGTCCACTTTATGCTTGCTCACATACATTTTTAAGGTTTTTTTTTAAAACTGTGCAACGAAATTGGTGTGGTATTGAGTGATGAGACGGATGGGATGTCCTATATCATTACTGTTTTCTCATTTCTCATTGCACATCTATGTCTGTCCAGTTGTTGCTTTCCATTATTTGCTCATTTTTACCATAGAAACAAATTAGTGGACCATAGAAATTACAAACACTGAAATTGAATCATACATAAAGGCATGGGTTTGTATTTGATGTAAAATATTTTTTGCATTTGTTGAACTGTAAATAAAGTGTATTTCTACTTCCATACATGTTGTGAATTCTTCCTGCAAAGACATGAACGTGATTTAGATAAAGATGTCTTTTATCTATCTTTTTAATTGTTTATCATTTATGCAAACAGCTGCAGATAGGGGTTCATTTTCATGGGAGCAACACAGATTCGAAATTGGAATTTATCAAAACATTGTACTATAACTGATCTTACAGTAACATAATAGATAATATTGCTATGAATTTAAAAAATATCATGACTTTTTTCATTCTGTCTAAATGGGAAAAACTACTGGGACACTTCCTTAGATGAGTCTCTGCCTGCTCTGTTTTCTCGCCGTTACTCGGTTAGTCTCGCGATACTCGATGCGCGTGCGCAGCGTCGCGCACTGACAAGCTGAGTTGGAGGATCATGGCGGAGCGCAGGAGGCACAAGAAGCGGATCCAGGTAACATCACTTCTTTTTAACTAAAATTCCGCTGCTTGAGATAAAGAGAAAACTTCTCGAAAACTGGGCGCAGGCTTTTCTGCCGGGTCTACGATAACTACGGTTTTCAAACGTGGATTTGTTAACGGGCGGCAGTTGAAGACAGATGACAGCAAACGGTAGCTAGCATTAGCCGGGTACCAAAAACATACCTTTTTATTTCATTTAGATGTTTCAGAGTTTCATATTCCCTCTTAGTTGTATGTAGCACTCACGCGTTAGTATACACAGCATAACGACGTGTTTAACATTCTTCACTGAGTTGAGGACGAAGCCATTTTTATGTTAATCATAAGATTGGGTTGACTGGAAATGTTTGCTGGCTAAGCTGCGTCAGCTTTAAGCAGGCGTGTTTACATAACACCTATAGCTGGGAATTTAATTAGTAAGTCAACACAATGCTTATCTTAAAACTCACTGTGAAGTTGTCAGAAACGTAACGTGCATCCAAGAACGCCTTGAAGGCAAGAACACACCTAAAAGTCAACTCACCAGACCTAAACCCTGCCTGAAGGCTCACCCCGGCCCCGCATCCCCTCCCACCCGCCAGTGCGGTGTAGCGTTTACTTCAAGGGTTTCAACTCTCAATCGGAGGACGGGCCTCCGTCTTTGGTGTTTTAAAGAAGTGTACGTCGATGTAATAGTTCCAGCTCACAAACAACCGATGGACATGACGATGGGCTCTTATTATAGGATCTGCAAAAGACCTGTGAGGTCAAGTGAGGGTGTTTAGAAGTCTGGTCATTGGAAAGAAATATATGAAACTGTCTTGTAGTTGCCAGTGAACGTGGGAAACAAGCTTGATGAACAGATCTGAGTCCCAGTTAAATGATTAGGACAGGAGCTGTCATGAGAAGCTAAGTGTGCACATCAGGTGGAAGTCATTTATCACGAGGAAGCACAAATGCCGCCCTAGTTTGTACATCTGCAAATCTGCATACACGCATTACTCTGTCACAAAGCTCTTAAACAACAAAGGGTCGTCATTCTTTTGCCATTTTAAATTAGCCTAATTTTTCTGCTCCCCTGACAAAAAGTGTCTTGTTTACAGACTACACTCATACTTATGTGTGAATAGTCCAGGGTGTGAAATATCTGCAGGAGAAATGAGGGATGAAGAGGAGCCCATGGAACAGATCAGCTCCTCTTGATGCCTTCATCTGGATCTATTACAAGTTTCCAACAATTGAGACTTCGGCTAATAGCGATGATGAAAATACACTTTAAAATGTCAGTAGAAGTAAAACTCTGGTTTGGGTGTGACTTGGATGATCGCAGTGATCCCCTGGAGTAGTTTACATAAGAACCGGTGGAAGAGCTCACAGCTAGAAGAGGAAAACAGATATAACTCTTCACACCCCGGGTCACGTTTTTTCGTTTCTAAAATGCAACAACACTCAAATCTGCTTTCGTTAACTCGTTTGGGCTGAGGTGCTCAGCACCGCCGCCATATTTGACTAAATGTTTGTTTATATTTTTTCACATTGGATAGAGGAAGTGGCAGGATGCCCTATAACAGAGACTTCTTGTTTTCCCTACTTTTTAATTTTAGTCGGTACAGTAGCATTGACAGACTTGCTTAACGTCATGTTTAGACTGGATGAAACAGCGTTTCTGACTGGGTCGGTGCTCTCTGTTCCACTTGCATCCCATCGGTTTGGTCTATCACAGAAAGACGTCACAGTAGCTTTTATTCCAACGCGAATAAACACACAAAATAGACAATGTGTTGATGTTTTGGATCAGATCCTTTTTCTTACAAATAGAAGATTGTTTTTTCAGATATTTGGCCAGATGTGTGTGTGTGTGGTGGGGGGGGGGGGAGTCATATATTTTTTAGAAAGCATTTCACACATTAGATTTTATTGTTGCACAAGCTGCCAGTGCCTTATTCCACCCTCCATCATGTGCACTACATCAAGTCTTTGATTTCATTCTGCCGGATGGGAGGACGGTGTGTGACTCGGTGGGTGTTTCTGTCTCTGTCTGCAGGAGGTGAGCGAGCCCACCAAGGAGGAGAAGGCCGTGGCCAAGTACCTCCGGTTCAACTGCCCCACCAAGTCGACCAACATGATGGGCCACCGGGTGGACTACTTCATTGGTTAGTACCCTGGGGGGGGAGTACAGACTGCCAAAAGCCCCCTTTTGCCCCCTGTTTGCTGTTGAGCAGCAGCCCTGTTACCAGCGAATGACTGCAGTGACGCACGGCGCCCGGTTTGGCGCTTGGTCAACGTCTCTGGCCTTTTCTGCCCGCCCCGCGTTTATTCGACCTGTTTTTGTGGCACTTTTGATCCCATTTGTCAGTTTTGGGAAGCGCTGTTTGCTCAGTAAATGTAGGTGGAGCAGACTGCTGAGGCCCGCTGTTCTTCATCATCATCATCACATGACCTGAGTTTGCTTTGGGACACAGTCCTCCCTGTCATATACACATTCAGTTTCAGCAGAAGAATGTTGACCTGCTTCTGCATAGAAACAAAAAGATGAGTTTTTATCAAATGATGTACAATCAGGGTGTCCAAACAAAAAATGTTCAGGTCTGATGAACCTCCTCTTTGCTCCAGCATATCACAGATACACCGAACAGAAACCTAAACTGTCCGTTTCAGTCGGTTAGATACCAAACTTAGGACTGCTTACATGTATAACCCAACGAATAAAAAGAGGCAAAAACAACTGAGGTGGTCAGCATAAACATGTCTTTCAGCCCGTCGTTACAGAATCTTGTTGTTTTGTTTTCAAACTAAGGATCTGAGAGACTGTATGGTCAGAAACCAGCCCACTACAGTAGATTGAGAGGTTCTCTATCTGTTTAGCCTCGAAGGCCGTGGACTGTCTGCTGGACTCCAAGTGGGCCAAAGCTAAGAAGGGAGAGGAGGCGGTGTTCACCACCAGGGACTCGGCCGTGGACTACTGCAACAGGTGAGCCCGGGCGTCCTGTGGATGCACAGCGATGAGTCTGAGGGCTGAGCAGTGTTTGCCCGCTCCAGTCCGGCTGTGCTCACTGTGAGGTCACCTCACATTAAACATTAAACGTCCACATGGGACACCAGAAGGACCGGTTTACACGTGGCTCCTTTACTTTGGTTCTCGTTGTCTTTTTGAACGAGTTCGATAAGTCGGACCCCTCCGTGTTCAGGACCCGTTGCTAACGCCTGAAACCAGCCGTCCTCATCGGCCTGTCGCCTGACGCCGTCTTTGTTTCTCCGCAGACTCCTCAAGAAGCAGTTCTTCCACCGAGCTCTTAAGGTCATGAAGAAAAAACCCGAGAAGGAGGTCAAGAAAGAGAAAGACGAGAAGAAGATCAAGAGCGACAGCAGCAAAGAGGAGGAGAAGAAAGGGAAGAAGGAGAAAGAGAAAAAGAAGGAGTCTGAAGCTGTGGAAGCCAAGAAAGAGAAAAGCGTATGTGAAAGCACATTTCTGTCCCACATCAGGGAAGGGGGGGGGGTTGTCTGGCACAAAGGCCCCTCAGGGCGAGCCTATTTGCTGAGCACTCCCTAAACTAACTATTATAGGGCCGATATTGATCCCATGACTTTAAAGGCCGATCTATAGATGTCCCGTTCAGTTTAGTTCAGTGTCATGTTTGCACTGGTATTAACAGCAAGAGCTAGCACCAGCATGTCATTAAAGTTTATTCCCAGCTGGTTGAACTGAAATACTGCATGATAACACATTTACAAACTGGTAACGGCCCGTCTGTAGCGTCCGACTCAACAAAGAAGGAAAAAAAGCTGATTTCATCTGGTCGTCTTTTACAGGACGATAGTCCTGGAACCCCCAAGAAGAAGAAAGAGGTGAAGAAGAAGTTTAAACTGGAGCCTCATGAGGATCAGCTGTTCCTGGATGGCAATGAAGTGAGGAAACCATCATTAAAGAAAAAAAGCTTGACAAGCCGTTTGTCCAAATTGTTTTTGTTTTTCTTTAACGCGATGCCTCTCCCGCAGGTGTACGTATGGATTTACGACCCCGTCCACTTTAAGACCTTCGCCATGGGTCTGATCCTGGGTGAGTGAGCCCCCTCGCCCTGAGCGCCGCGCCCCCCCCCCGCCCCCCCCCCCCCAACGACCAAAGCTGCCGTTAACTCCCTGTGTTGTTTTGTCTCAGTTATTGCAGTGATAGCGGCCACGCTGTTCCCGCTGTGGCCGGCCGAGATGCGGGTGGGGGTGTACTATCTCAGCGTGGCAGCCGGCTGCTTCGTGGCCAGCATCCTGCTCCTCGCTGTCGGTAGGTGCACACAGCCGCCGCCCAAAAATAAGGCTTTTTTTGGGGGTATAAAAGACGTGAAGGTGGAGCTCCGTACTGTATTACTCAGTCCTTCATGTCATTCCTTAAAGGCACTTTGTGTAGTATTTTCAGTATTTTATTAGCTAAAATCATTTTCTTTATTTATAAATGTGTCTTCATTTGGTGTCAAATTAGCTAATGTTGTCTAGTTAGTCCACAACGTTCAGAGCCAGAGTCATGTGACTCTACAGTGCAGACAGGAAGGAGAACCACTGGACTTTGGAGCAGTGGCACAGAGGTGGGGCGTGGTCCAGGTGTCCTGAGGTTTTGTCAGTCGGTCAGGATGTCTAGCCTCAGCAGTTGAGCCCAAAACTACCCCGAAAAAACAAACGACAAAACAACACGACGACAAAATGATACCGTGGTTTGTTTTGGGCCACGCAGGCTGAGTTTAGCCTAATTAACGTCATAAACCTTTGACCAGTGTTCACACCTCATTAGTGGCGTGTGCTTAAGTCACAAAAGCTATTATTTAAAAGAAAAATAATTCCTGCTCAGGATTGTTTCATACGTGATTAATGAGTAGCAGCTGGGGTCTCAGCTGGAGACGGGCAGAGATGAGTAATCCTGCAGGTCCAAACCAGGTTTGTTGTTAGACACATTGGACCCTAAACAGATTTGGTTGTTTTTCTGATGATGCAGTCAAAATGTGTGCTCTCAATCATCCCCCTGCTCACTAAAAAAAAAAGTCATTTTTGTCATATTATAGGCTCAAACTGCAGATGTCAGAACTCTGATGTGTGTCTGTGTGCAAAACGTCCATCTGACCGCTTGTGTCCCCTCCCCAGCCCGCTGCATCCTCTTCCTGATCATCTGGCTGGTGACCGGTGGGCGCCATCACTTCTGGTTCCTCCCCAACCTGACGGCAGACGTGGGCTTCATCGACTCGTTCCGGCCGCTCTACACCCACGAGTACAAAGGCCCCCGGGCCGCCGACAAGAAGGGCTCGGACAAGGCCGACGACAAGGACAGCAGCGCCTCGGCCAAGGCCCAGAAGTCCGACAGCGAGGACAAGTCCGACAGCGAGAAGAAGGACGCCGACGACGAAGAGGAGGACGAGGAGGAGGACACCAAAGAGGCGGGCGGAGGGGAGGGCAAAAAAGCGGAGGGGGAGGGCACAGAGGAGCGGCAGTCCGACACAGACAGCGACCGGCGGGAGGACGAGGGCTCGCAGCACAGCAACGGAAACGACTTTGAGATGATCACCAGAGAGGAGCTGGAGCAGCACACGGAGGAGGACGAGGACGAGGAGGACGAGGACGAGGAGGAGGAGGAAGATGAGGAGACGCAGACGAGGAGCGAAGGGAGCGGGAGCGAAACTAAACCCCAGACTGCTGAAACATAAACTTTCCTCCAGCCCCATCTCCTCTCCTCTCTGTCCCTCCCTCCCTGCTGTGACCCCAGGACCTGCCGGCCGGCCCCTCTGTTCCCAGAGGAGCTCCCTCTCACGTCTGAGATCTTCCACCAACAGCACCGGGGCAGACGCCACACCCGAAAGGCTAATGGCTGCCACCACCAGGCAAACCTGCTGGAAAAGAAGCCTTACGGCGGATCCGATTCCTCCAGCCAAAATGCTGTTGGTGCTCAAAGGAAGCCGCTGTCGGACACTTTCGCCTGAGGAACCCATCAGACCAAACCAGCCACTCACTCCGGTGGCTGTCGGCTCTCTTTTCGTTCCGCTCTCGGTCCCTCCAGTCGTAAAATTTCTTTTCAGTCATTTTGAGCTCGAGGTGTTTTATTCATATTCGGCCGACAAAAGAAGAAGGATGTTTTCTGGCATGAGAGGTGAGGTAGAGGAGCCCTAACGTGCTCGTTCCCTTTTTTTAAAGAAAATCGTTGTCCGTGTAGTCACTTCGGTTCTGAATTCTGCGTCACTCCTGTAAAACGTCAGCCAGTCTGATAGCTTTCTCAGGCAGCACTTTAAGCATAATGACCAGCGCGTCGGTTTGAACCCGCGATGAAGCCAGATGGACCAAACCCTGTCGTTCACCCAGCCGAGGCCAGCAGGACGTGAGCGCTTGGGCAGCAGAGCGGTTTGGCTTTTCCAGGTACTAGCCTTTTATTTTTTTTCTACAGCTCATGGTCACAGTGCAATCCTCCACTCGGTGTGAAATACTTTTGTGAACTGGGTCACAGCTGGCAAATTATGTTTCCTTTTTCTTTTCTTTTCGTTTTTTTTTTTTTTTTTTTTTAAGATCGCCAAACCGCCGTAGTTAGAGGAGGTAAAGTTGACTGAACCCTTTGCAAACAGCAGCAAACCTAAAGTAAAGCAAACTCTAGTGCCAAACGGAGCGGACCCTGGCGCGGCGCCGGGCGTGGCGTGGCGGCGGCTGAGAGCCGGGGCGGCGCCGCCCTCGTCCCGACGCTTTGGCAACTCCAATGTCAGAAGAGAAACTACAGAACAAGCACAGCAGCAGGCGGGCGCAGCCCAGAGGTTTGTCTCTCCGGTAACACCATTCAGACGCGCTCACGGCAGATTGGTCCAAACGGCTCCCGTTTTGGTTTCAGCGGAAAGCAGCGGGCAGATTTTTAGAGGCCAGCTTTCACCGACCAGTCAGAGCTGGTGGCCGCGGTCCACTTCCAGAGGTCCAAAATGTTCCTTCACATCATTTTCTGGCTAAAAATGTCTTCAACGCTCTTTTTCTTTTCTTTTTTTTTAGTCATAGTGGGGATTATATTTCAATATAAAACATATAAATGGATCATTTATATATTAGTTCTATGGATATATCAGATGTATGCAAACAATTCTCAAAAAGTCTAAGAAATCTATGAAATGGACCTCTGCTCCTTTTTTTAATTGTGTGGCGATGAAGCATTATTATTTCCCAGCTTTTCTGTTTTTTGCTTTTAAATGTTCACAACGTTTACGTATTTAATTTCAAACCCCGGCACTAAAAACAGCAGGAATGGAAGCTTTTGGGGGGGGATTTTCTGTCGGTGGTCTGGGTTTGCTCAGTCATCAGCCTGGTCTTACAAAACCAGTGGCTCCCACGCCGACCGCCGACGTGCTATCTCTCAATATCCCGCTCGGCTTTCCGTCTTCTGTTTGGCTGAAAAACGAACCTGTTCAAACTACATTCAGCCATCTGTTTCTTTTCCCGCTTTAATCCCGCTGAGGCGTTCCGCTCGCCGGCTCTCTTTCATGTTGTGTTGTCTCCTTTGTTTTGTTGTCTTGTCTGCTTTGTTTTTTTTTCGTTTTTTCTTCCCCAAACAGTTAAGTGCATCTCTGTTTTTTGAGTTGCCAGTGGTCACACATGCAACATCACGAAAAAAAAGACTATTTTCCCAGTCGTTCTTAACTGTTGCACAGTATCAGTCTCTTGTGTATTGTAGTATTATAACTCTCTTTGCTGCTGCTTCTCATAACACATTTCTGGGGGAAATAAAAGTGAAAATGTTAAACTTTAACGTTTTATCTCTGGTCAAGAACAGTGTCTTTTGATCACATAGTTGTCCACATTTGGATTGATATCATTCAAGATTGTCTCCTGCAACATTGGAGTGTAATTTAATAAAATGTCTGGAATATATCTGTATGTTATCATTGCAATAAAAATATAGAAAGCACCCATTTCATGGTTTCTGTTTATGGACAGAAAAAGGTTTTGCTTTTCAAAAAAGCGTTTTGAAATTTGAACACTGAAATGTTGAAGGTGGGTTCCACAAACAGTTATGTAATACATCAATGTTTTTGTATTCATCCTGCAGGATATTCAGTCTGGTTGAAAAAAAAAAGTTACATAAAAATCAGTTAAATAAGTGCCAAAAAGTCTAAAGAGAAATGGTCCATAACTAAGCTTTATTTTCCTGCTCTGCCTTCAGCTTTGTGCTGTGACAGTTTTCTTTGAGCTATGAAATTGACAAATCTTATTTAGGACTCTCTGCTACACACAGTCTGAAATTAATTCCTGAAGGCAACAGGAGAAAACAAACCAAAGGCTATGGATGATTTGACCTACACAGCAGAAAACAGCTTTGAATGGAAATTAAGTTTTGAGTAATTCATAATCGACAATTAATCCAAGCTAAGTTCTTAAAAATCTTAAACATCACATAAATATTACATTAAATAAATTCAACCAAGAGTTTTGTATGTACAAATTTACATTTTTAAAGGTGAGAATAAACTTGTCGTTCAGCTTAGTTTGAGCTTTATGAGCGTATTTCTGCCCTTAATTCATCAGAGCTCATGACTGTAACATGTACAGCTTTCCTACTTATTCACAGGAAAAAGGATATAGACGAAAAGAGAGTGGGATTCCCGTCTTTTCTGGGTGAGACAACGCGCTGTGGTCAGAAAGCGAGGACAGAAGTGCAGTATGGATGCACGGGAATGTAGTGGGGAGGCGACTGCGTCAGATCCTGTATCAGCAGCAGGATGGCTGTGCATGCTTCCTGTACTGAGCCCAGCTCAGCCACCTCAGAGCAAACCGGGGGAGGGGCGGGGAGGGTCAGCTGACCGGCGTTCAGGGGGACCTCAGTTTTCTGTGTCCGACGAGTCGGAGGTGTCCGCCAGTCGGGCCTGCCTCTTCCGGACGTTCCAGTGCAAACACTCGGCCAGGCTCTCGAACCAGTCGTAAACCAGGTCGTGGCAACAGATGGACGGCACGGGGTAACAAGAGGTGGTGATCTTAATGCTGCGGGCAGAAAAAAGCGGACATCAGAACCGGAGGGGAGTGGCGGGGCTGAATCGGCTGAGAGCGGGTGGAGGACTTCACCAGTCTCCGTGTTGGATCTCCTGCCGCCTCCGGCCGTCGAACGACACCCAGGCTGTGTTGCGTGCGTCCGGAGAGAGGGTGATCTGTTCCAGGCGGCGTCGGGTCAGAGGGCGATGACAGAACAAGACAGGGATCATTTCAGGCATCATGTCATACATGAACACTTCAGAGTTCAGGGAGGGTTACTGCTGGGGTGTAGAAGGGCAGATATACTGCAAAACGCTTGGAGGGACACAAACTGTCATTATGCTCTACGACACGTTAACAGGAGCATTATTGGCTGGATTATCAAACCATGCTTCTTTTTTTTATGATAAAGGCTGATCTGTGGTGTCAGAAGAGCAAAACCACATTTCACACTGTGTTTCAACACTCTGTGTGTTTCTGTCCCCCTCTTACCATGAGTTCCACTCCAGCGGGGACCACGATGGGCCTGAAGGAGAGCGAGTGCGGGCAGATGGGCGTGACCATGATGGCGGGGACGTTGGGGTGGATCATTGAGGCCCCTGCTGCGGCCGCGTACGCCGTGCTGCCCGTGGGCGTGGACACGATCACACCTGGTGGATGGACGGGCCAGGACAATTATTTTTATCAGAGCTTTTATTAGCGTGTAACGACTACAAAACGTCAAACGGCGTACCGTCTCCCTGCACTGAGGTGATGAGACGTCCATCGAGGTACAGGTCCACATTGGACAGGTAGGAAGAAGGGCCTCGATCTACCACCACCTCATTCAACACCTACACACACACACAGAAAGGCCACAGGTTCAGACAGACTCACAACCAAAAAGAAATGTGACCATAGTGCCATCTACAGGTCAGATGAAGGACATGCTCTCAGCCTTGCACGTACAGGAAATATGTCCCTACGTATATATACATGTACACTTACATATACATGTACATAAACGCCTTATTTGAACTCACTTTAATTAGATTAAATCACCGGTTTTCAAGTGGAATGTGGTAAATAAACTGTAGCCATAAAACAATCCGCTTTCATATGATGTCTATCGAGTTCTGTGGAGTCTTCAGAATGTAATTCCCTCTTACAGACATCAAATCTAATCGGCGTTCTAAATAAAAATGAGAAATGGTCCAGCAGCTGACTCAGAGCTGCAACAAATTACAGCCTAACCTCTCATGACCAAACTACAGGCAGACGGGCAGGCGCACTGAGCTGTGAAGTCTGGCAGATGTTCTGACGTCAGGCGGGCACAACACAAACATCCTGCCGGTCACTCCAGACGCCGTGTAACACGGTTTTCAGAGAGCAGAACGCTCCGTCGCTATCCTTCACTGATGGGAGGAAAAAACTCTGGGGAGAGTCCACAGAGTGAGCTGCACAGAAAGTACAGCCAGATGTGTGTGTGTGTGTGTGTGTGTGTGCTGCTCAGTTGACACAATGTTTCAGAGTGAGAGCATCAGGAATCATAAAATAACCATTTGGTGCAGATTCCACTATTGACGCCACTGTCTCCATAGCAACTGGCTCAACAGGCCTTCACAACATCCGACATTCCCCTCTGTATCTGCAACCAGAGCTTTATTATGACTGTCGCCATGGAAACCAGGCTGCTGCTCTTTCATTGACCCATACACACACGAGCACATCCATCAGCCGAATGGGCAAAGCATCAAACTGTCGTCACATGATTCCAACATCCACACATCCGACCGAAGCCCAGAGGTTCAACAATTCAGCCACTGTGTCGGTGTTTTTAGTCACTGTAACCCATTTCCTCCTCTGTAACAGAATAACGTGGTGTTTATATACAGTACGCATCAACGGGATGCTATTGCAAAAATGGAACTTATTCTCAGGACTATTCATAATTTTTAAAAAAGGCTAAAGGCTTCTATTCTTTTTGGATTCCAGCTGATACCAGCTGGAGGGTGGATCTGGGACTCTTAAAGGAGGGTGACGGGGCTGTGAAGAGCAGAGGTCCAGTGGATGGAGGTTAATAAATAAACAGTTTGGAGGAGAAAGAAGCCAGGAGTAGATTGATCAGCTGATCACAGCTCTAATTACCAAGTCTAGAAATACCATTCTATAATCCTCAGTGTCATCACACAGTTTCAGGATAAAACAACCTTAGTCAGAAATTTTGATTTCACTTTTCAGGTGCGTCTCACTGTCTAATATCAAATTAATCTTTTTGTTGTAGTTAGAAGAACATTAGTAGAAAAAACAACTAAATGAAGAAGAAAATATGGGCTTGTTGCCAGGCAACAGCAGAGGGGTTACGGCCACTACAGCAACTTTAAATCGTGTAAGAGATAAATGAAGCCCTTCAGAATCGCAGAGCAGCAGCCAAGTTGTAAAAGTTGCGGCGTGGATCACATGAGAGAAAGAGACACGGGCTGCTCCACGCCTGGAGCTAAACGCATTAACGTCTGCCAGGTGCCCATTCAAAGTCTGCCAAACATCTGATTTATTCAGATGATACATCCTTTTGGTGTAAACAGCATGTGTGTAAAGAGATACTAAAGAAGGCTGAAGGCAGAAACGCCACATAGAATCATTAAGCCTGTGATTTGTTCCGTTTAAGCCAGGCTGCAAAGCATGCTGGTCCACTGGCCAAATGTTTTAAAACTGAACTGGAACAAACACTCTTTCATGACTCCGTTTACTGGGCCCTGAAGTTGGCTGCGTAACCCCTTCCTCCTGCTGCGGAGCTCACCTGCAGCTGCAGGGTGACCCTCCCGGCCTCGGAGCTGGTGTGTCTGTGAGGCAGGAGGCCGTTGAGCTCGGGCTGGTGCTCGGGCTCTCTGCTGTAGGCCTGCTGCCCGGCCCTCTGCAGCATGTCCTTCACCACCTTCACCTTCAGGCGACTGCGCAGCGTGATGGCGGCGTTGCCTGAGGGCCCAGACATTCAAGTCAACCCAACAAAAAAAAGACCACAATCTACGAGCCATAGTTTACCAAAACAGAGGTTCCATTTTACCCTCAAACACTTTCGCCACTTCGGTTTTGTAGGACTCAAACTTAAAAGGCGTCAGAAAGCCCAGAGAACCAAGGTGGAACGCCATGACGGGCGGGACGCTGCCCTGCAGGGAGGAGAACGCACTCGTTTGTGGAATGGTGCAAAAAATGTTTTTCCTCTCTGTGTACAAGTTAAACTAATTTCAGAAAATGAAGAAATAATTTTTAAAAAGTTTAAAAATGTCATTTGAATTAATTGAAAATGAAAATTATGTACGTTACATTATGTGACATCATCACTTTGTGTTCATCCCATGGAAATGAAATTATAAAAAAAAAAAAAAAAAAATCAACTAAGTGGTATACATCAAGTCTAATATTTTAAGAACATCTAATTTACCTGGAACAGAGAGGAGGCGTACAGCAAAGTTCCATCACCGCCCAGACAGATGATAAGATCGATGCAGTCAGAGATATCATCAAACCCTGAAATCAGACAAAAACCTGGCCATTACTTTGACTGTTTTTGTCAGTGTAATTATGACAAAAAGGCTCTCAGGGGAGGAGTGGAAAACTTCTTAGACTCAGACTTATGAGGGAATGGTCGCTGCATGTGGTCAGTGATTCATCCACCACACAAATAACTGAACAATGATGCAGACGTGTCCACTGTCCTGCACCACCCCTCTGCGCCTCAAACTGTGCTTTGAAAACCACTTCAGACGGGACACACACACTCATCTAACAGCCCAACGATACCAGAGGACGGCCGGATATTTTAGTGTGAGATCCTACCCTGCTGTGACAGATAGCTGAAGTCCACCACAGCTCAGCGACAAACACCGGCTGAACCGCTTTTTTGTTTTTGCTTAGAACAAAGTGACGTCTTCATGGCATTATTATTCACCTTTTCCAAAGTAGCTGGATCTTCCTTCTGTTTAGTTTATTCAGCACTGTTCCTCATCGTCGGACCCCGGTTAGCACATCGACATGAATATAAACATGCAAACTCTGATGCGGCTGACCTGTTCTAAATTCGATTTCAATAAATACGTTGTGGTTGCTGCACAACTATACGACCACAGATCATACTGATAACACGGTGATTCACTATTAGATATCATGGCAATGTGTGCTATCATATTTAAGCATCTTCAGCTTTAATTTCATGATTTACCACTGTATGCACATATAGTTTTCGCCTTTATGCATATTTATCCATCATATATTTAAAGTTATAGTTCATGTCTCTATTCCTCTGTTTATTTCGTTAACATTAAATTAATTATTTAAGCTTAAATAAAAAAGTTAAATTATCAAAGTATTTATTATAAGTGTAACTAACTAATCTTTTTCTTTTAACAGGCTATTGTTCAGTTAGAGTTGTACTACTTTTTTTTCCAAAAAGCTTTGATCTTCTCTGGTCTTTGGGGGAGACATGATTTGTTACGGTAGGACACAGAGGAGTCTTACCCTCTCTGAAGGTGCAGAGCTGATTCCGGATGGTGCCGAACGCTTCGTCCTTGGACAGCGTAGCATCATCGGCAACCCTGCGCTCTACATACACCATCATCTGCTTCTCCTGATACACAGACGCACGCTTTAGTGACAACAGCCCAAACACACAGGTTTAAAAAAATAAAGATGAACACATGCCAAAAATCTACGGCCAACTATGACAGTGTTGGTATGGAATGCAAACATGTGCATGGCCAGTTTAAGAAACATGTGGTCAAAAGATGCTATGGCAGCTGGAGACCAGACCAGGGCTTTTCCTCTATGTCTGGGCCGTTTCCGGAGCTATTTCTGTTAAGACTGGCCGCTCTTCAGTTCCACAAATGCTTCAGGAGGATGGGGTAAGTTTATCACCTGCTAAGGACACAACTATCTGGATACACATTGTTCACCTTTTTTAAAAGAAGAATAAAATTAGAGCAAAACTCTCAGCTGAAGCGAGTATAATAATGGACGACACTTAACACCGTAAATAGTGCAAATCAATTTTAGCCTCACAAAGCTATGATTATAAAAAGAGCAGCAAAAATGTTCTAACCTATTAAGACAGAACACAAAGATGCAAATATTAAATTTATGTTTCGAATTTGAATAATGCCCAAAAGACACACGATTATATTAAAAAATAAATAAAAACAATATTTTTTTTCATTATTAAGAGGATGAGGCACTACAGACAGCTTTTTCTGCTTTTTCATAAGCGGGGCAAAGCTTAAGGACTAACAACAGCACATCAGTCCAGAGCAGGTTAATGTGTTTTAAGATTAAAGCAGGAAATTTCTTCACATCACAAACTTATTCATATGACTAAAAATTCACAGCCTAAATGGCACATGGTTAATGTTTTGTTTTGTTTCGTCTCACGTGATTAACTGTCACACGTGAACAAAACAACAAAGTAATTCTCCAAAACATGTTATAGCACACCACATTTAGAATTTTTTTTTCAAAAAGTACCTCCACCAGAAACCTGCAGAGCTCTTTGAAAGGCTCGACCAGGCTCTCATCTCGGATCTTCCTGATAACGAGCACGTTGACTGGAGGCTTGTTCCATGTGAGCCTCTGGCTGGAGGGATCCTGGATGTGCCTGAACACAAATACAGAAACAATTTTGCACAAAAAACTACATGAATGTACTGTAGATAGATACGAATAAGTTAAAACAAACATATTTTTAAGTAAGCTTCCAAATTACATGACTGTGAGTTTGTCTATTGATCCTGAGAAAGTTTAAACCAAAGCAAGTACTGCTGCTGAGTCATTCATTAACTGTTATGATACTTTCATACAACAATTGTAAGAATCGGGTTCAAATTCCAAAGCTGAGCACATAAAAAAAGCATCTTTCTCCTTTACCATTTTTCTCTGTTCCTCTTTGAGTTGCAGACGATCGGCATTGTGTTAGTAATGTAATCTGAAATGTTTTCAAATTGTATACACCCGCAATTTTGTACTGTCGGATGGCAGTAAGGACGGGTCTCTTGTCCTGTGAGCCTTCCAGTGAAAGAACCAATCACCCCACGTCCATTTTATCTAATCTCACATGGTTACACAAACTCTGCAGTGTCAATGTCCTACAAAGAAAAGTTTGACCAATTCAGCCCCCTGATGCTTACATGACAGAAGTTGGGTTGGGAAGAATACAGGCTTTAGGTCCAAAGTGAGTGGCTGGATATGGTCCATGTAAAAAATGTGCTCTTCTGTAGGGACGGAAAAGAAAGAGGAGTTAGGATCATGTCATCTGGCGTCTCACAGCACAGTTGTGTCAGCGGAACAGCAGAGCGGCCGGCAGCCCGCAGAGCAAACCTTTTAGGAGAGCTTTCCGCTGCGTCGCACGACGGACCAGAGGGCTCCAAGTGCTCGTGTTGGCCTGGCAACCTCCACCGCTCCATCTCCCACAGCTGCTGCTCATGACCATTACCCTGTCGCTGCGACCTCTTCCCCTCCCGCCGTCTCCTTGGAGACTTGGACGGCTGCTCCCTGTGCTTGGGAGACCTGGTCGGCTCTGACTCTTGATCGGGGGGGCTCGAAGGTCTCAACATGCCTCGGTCCGGCACTGTAAGAGGCCTCACTGATGGACTGGTCTCTAAATTTTCCATCCTGAGACACCAAAAAAAATAAGCAAACACATGATTAAAACTATTACTGCCGTTTAAGAAGTTCCTAGAATTGTGCTGATCGCCATCGACTTATCAATTTATCATCCAAATAGCTGGTGCCAGACCCTAAAAATTCTTTACTTCTTACCATCTACATTTTTCAGTTTAGGGTTTTAAATAACTCACAAATCAAGCAACACAAACATACAAAAGACTGTATCCCTTTAAGAAGCAGAAAGGCCCATTTCCACAGTTTTGTAGCGTCTAATTGATAAACTGGTCAACCAAAGGAAGTGATGTTACTTTACTTTTAATGTTGCCTCACCGGCAGGGCCTGAGCTTGTACATACACCTCATACATGTTACATATATACAAAGTTACACAAATCAAGTGAAACCCACAGACGAGACAACCCCCTTGTTTTCAAGGGCAATCATTCAAGATTCTTTTATCTATTGGAGGATAAGTTGAAAACTCGATCCCTGAGATGCTGACAACAGTGGAAGGCTACTAGTCTTAGATATGCAAGAAATCATGTTTGTTTGAGAAGTTCAAACCCAGGGATAGACAGGTCACTTTTTTATGTCCTTTCAAGTGATTATCTAAATATCTCTCCATTGTCATTTCATCAAGTGATTTAATACCCCTGAGCTCTAACTTTGGATTGAATGAAAGGCTTAACCTTAGAAATTATCACATTCTTTTGCCAATGACGTTTAGTTCGCATAAAAATCGATAAAGTGTTATATGCCAAAACAACCAGAGCGGTGACCTTCGCTCTAGTTTGACAGCGATAACGGTTTGTGCAACCCACGAGCCGCCGACTATTCATAAGGACGAGCCTGAACAGCGACTGGCAGCCTCAGCGGAACAAACCACGCGTTAATGACAGGTAGCGTTACCTAGCAATAGCTAACCAGCTAACAACTCAACATCGCCGTGAGAATGAACGAAATTTCGTCTTACTTTTCCACAAACAAGCAAAAAATCACATGCCAACGCACGCCTGCGAAAGCACTGGTGTGTTCAGACACTGCTGAACAGATAAAAACTAAAACAAAGGTTAAATTACATTGTTTTTCAAAGATTACAAAACAGTACGTGACCGGTGGGAGAAGTGACGTTTCCAAATTACGTCACAGCGAGCGCGCGGCTCCCAGCAATTAAATTGCAGCGCCAGGTTTGACCCTGCTGGTCACATTCAGAACTGCACCCATAGGATGAGAGGATAATAGGGTTAACATGGACCAATAAGTTTGGAGAGGGAAACATACATATTCTCTGTTACTTTTTATGCAAGGCAACGTTTCAGTGAGATGTTTTCTCAGTTAAAGTTCATCACTTTTCAAATTTTCTCATATTTGCTCTTAATTTTCTTTTCTGGAAGAATCACTTCCTGAACAAGATCAAGCAGGTAGGGTTAATAACTTATGAATAACGTATGAATTTCTGTATAATTCGCAGGCTTGCATGAGTGAGTTATCTTACTCTGTTTGCTCATGAAACAAATTATTTGGGGATACTTTAAAAAAAATTTAGAATAGACATATAAGAATTAATTGTCCATCACCCCATTTAAGTGTTAGAAGGATAAACATTCTGAATATGAACCACTCCTAAGAAGGGGTTTTGTACTTTTTTTCACACATGTTTGTGTTGTTGAGCTTCAACGTGTGAGTCTCTAATTTTAGCCATTCATGCCCACCACCCAGGGCAGATTCATTTGCCGGTATGATGCTACTGATGATAATAGCCATCTAGGAAATGAAAAATGTATCTTTTGTTTACTTGTATGCAGGTTGACGAACCAAAAGATGTCTGTGATGGTGACTGTCACATTGTGAAAATAATAAATTTCTGAACTAACCAAGATCCTTTTGTGTCAGGCCCGAATAACAATCAAATGAACAGCCAAAACTTGAAGAGATAAAAGTTTTTATTGGCAATGTAACACGTTATCGACTTTATTGACTCCTGTTGACTTTGTCTCTGAGAGGAAAAAAATCAGCTGCACTTCCTTGTGTGATTAGCCCAGATGAGTCAAATTAGAAGCTTTAAGTGGTAAAGTTGTGGTCACATCATGTCAAGCCACTGTGGTCTTTCTTTGTAGAAAAGAATGTGAAGAGATGGTTCAGTTCAAACCGAGGAGAAGCTAGAGAAATGCTGATGGCCATCAGCTTGACATTGCCCTGGGACTCAGCTTTGGCTACACACAGCAGGAGGACAAGGCCAGCAGAAGGCCGCGAGAGAGGCGTGCCGGAAGCAAAAAGTCAACTTGACCTAAGGCAAATGAAGTATCCCTAAATGATTACTTTTCCGCGACAGCTCCATTTCATTTGGACTTTGTAGCGATATGGGCACTAAAAATGGATTTTCAAACACTGTGAGTGATACTTTTTTTTTTCTTTTCAAAACTTTTAAAGACACATTTGGGTCTGGAAAAAGAAATGTTCAAAAGTAGAGGAGAAAGTTCTAGTTAAGGAATAAGTTTATACTTAAAGTGTTGGCACATATTTCTGCAGTCTACTTAAAGTCTGAAGCCTCACTACAGTGTTTATGTGCTAAGAGTTAGTTTTTTTTAGCTTTTAAAACCATTGGTCATTGGCCCACAGAAAATACAGCTTTTTTGTAAACATATTCAGGTTTGATTTAATCACCATGATTTCACCTGAAAGTGAACGTCTATTTCTTTCATTCTCAGCTAATTTCATTTACGGTACTCTGGAAATGCTACAAAGAATAAATAAGCATGCTACTCTTATTATTATTTTTTCATGCATATTGTGTATAATACATTTTTAGAAATATAATCCTATGAATATGTGATTCTGAGAGCAATTCAATGTGTTGTTTCCACTGTGTCATCAGTTATTCGCTACACACGCAAAGAGGCGTGAAGAGGAAGTATTTTTTTTTCGCTTTAGTGCATTCTCACAGTTCTGTCGAACTGTGGTTTTATTCTGTTGTCCATTTTTAGTCCTTCAGCTTTTCCCTGCAGTGAGAAAGATTAATCAGAGAGGACCAAGATCTGCGTTGTCATTCAGTAAAAATATGATTTGAAATGTTAAATGTTTAGGCTGTCAAGTACAGGTGCTGTTATATATTGGGAAATATTAGGGACGGAACTATAGTCAAATTGGGGGTTGCCCCTCCGGGGGCCAGTTTCAGTGGGGGACGTTCCAATTGGAACGGTTGTATTTTGCCGGATGATTTTCCTTAAGTAAAAGAATGACAACTCAAGTCCCCTGCCTCAGTGTGGATTGAATGGATCGATTCTTGGACACTCGGTTCCTACAGGTGCGTTTTTCATTCATGCTTTTAATTTTTTTATTCTTTAAGGTTTGGTTTATCTTTGTTATCAAATCTGTCATCAGCTTTTTTCCAAGTTCAACTCAACTATATAACCAGTCAGCATTCAAACTCTGTAGCTAGATTAGTTGTCCGGTCCACTGGTTGCCAACAAAGGAATTCCCATCACCCAAAGAATGTCAGACTTTATTACTGCAAAATCAGTTGCATATTAACTGTAAATGTAGATCATTTACACACAATGTGAAGCTACCACCAAGACTCCAGTGTTTCTAAATTGCACCTCAGGGACTAATAAACTTTATTGAGTATAGGTGAATTCTTTACTTCTTATTCATTCTGCATGTGGTTCTAATTGTAGTTCAAATACCTCTCAGTACTGACATCATCTGTGTGAGGGTTGCTTGTTTGCTTGTCTCTCTCAGGCCCCCTCCACCACTATCCTCAGGGCTTCGGCGTGGGGTTTCCCCGTAACTGTCAGATGCACGATCTGTCTTTCAAACCGGGATATTTCACTGCGCACCGTTCTGCTGTGAGCGAACTGAAATGGAGCCCTGCAGTGTGTTATAATGCCCTGTTTATTCTTGAATGCATCCATTTGCATTTTTTTTTAACGGCTCATTGTGTTAGGAGTTAGGTTAGACTTTCTAAAAAAGCAGGAAGACTTTGGACTTCTCTGTCTACAGATCAAAGGGTCATTGTCATGTTTGTGTGTTATTTCCATCTATTTTGCCTGGATTTGCATCTATCAGACTGCTATCACACTGCTTCTCTGCTGCTTTTCCAGCCCTCCTATGGTGACAGTGAACTGGGTAGAGTGGGTTTGGCAAAGACCAGCAATGGATTAAAAACAGCACAATCGGATTCAGTTTCAATTCCGTGACACAAACGTAACAACAAATGACTTATTATTGTGCTTTGGATCTCCTGTGTCACAGCTCGTGTCACTTTTCTGCGTTATTTTCTGGTTCTCCCAAACTTTCAGATCCCCATTGTTGATTTAATGATGAGTATTGCTTACTTTAAAAGGCACTGTTCAGGGTAGAGAAGAAAATCTTCATGTGTCAAGTGCAGTTCTTCATATCTGAATCCCAAACGTGTGTTTTATCCCGGCAGTTGAATGAGTGTCTCTTTAATGGCTCCCGGCTTCTGGTGTCCTTTTGGTGAAACTCTCACTCATCATGTACGTTTCCATCATCCGCATCCTGATCAGTCTCGGAGGGAAATGCCTGCTCAACTGGGCGCTGGTGTTTCTCCAGAGGACTCACGTCTGTGGGAGCTTCCTGGCAGCTTTTGCTGTTTCCGTGGCCGTCGTTGATGCCGCCCTGACTCTCGCCGTCACCATCATTCACCACAGCGACGGGTCCCTGGTCCTCCTTGGCCACCTGCTGACCAGCTACCACATATGCTTGCTGCTTCAAATTGTTGGACAAATCCACAGGGTGCTCCAGTGGCCCGTGGTGGCCGCGGCCGCCGTGGATCATTTCTGCGCTGCGACTCGGAGGCTTCATGCCACCACGGTCAGGACAAAAAGCGCTGTGTGTTTAATCGGGACATTCCTATTGTGGGGCTTCGCCGCTCACCACACCTTTCTGCTGTCGGACTTCAAACCTGTCCTGGAGGACGTCTCCTACCACCACATGCACAGATGCTGGGTGGCCCCCTGCACCCAGGTCCTACACATAGCCCTGATCCTGCTCCTCGCCCTGGGCTACTCTGCGCTGCACGCCGGACGCTTTGGAAGGCTCAGCTCATCCCCGAACAATCAGCCGAAAGCCCAAACCGTAGACCAAATTGAGGCTCATTGCAGGAGCAGTTTCGTTCGACGCGTCCTATCTATATTCCTCCACACTTGGAGCCCCTTCCTGGTTTTCCTGGCCGTGCTCCTGCTGCTGCCTGAGGAGATCCCCTCACACCTGGCCCTCAGTGTCCCCTGGCTCTGTTTCCTGAACAGCCTTCTGGTCGCTCTTGTTTTATGTGCAGTCTGTCCAGTTTTGCAGCTTTCGCCGGGCACAGCGGCACCTCTTCCAGACAGCTTTTGTGTGTGGAAATTTTAGTGGAGTTTATTTTAGCCTGGCCGCAGGCCACAGTAAACATGAATATCCTGAGCCTCCCATCAGTTCTTTAGTGATCTATATGCATATTTCTATTCTTTTAGGAACCATTATCTCAGGTCATTGTTGTTTTTCTGGTTTCTGAAGAGGATAACCACTTTCAGAGGCTGTTCATCTACTATAGACCATTCTTGTTTTATTTTTGTCTGTTAGATTGCATTATCTTTTTTGTTTTTCAAGGCTACACGGTGTATCAAAGTAAATGAAGACTGATTGTGTTATGTTCTGTCCCTTAAATTCCATGTTTTGTTTTGCTTATTTCTAATTTGCTCGTTTGTAATGATTAATATGTCAGTGTTAAGGGCCTATTTCTCAAAAAAAAGGTCAGATGCAAAAACAAAATGGTGACAAGCAGCTAATGTCCACTGAAAAGCATTCAAGGTCTGAGGAAAGCTCTTGTCAGCTTCCCTAGTGGTGAAGCTTAGGTTAACTTCAGAGTCTGTATCAGAGTCTCTTAATCTTTAATTTGATTACTTTCATGTGAGACCAAATTATTATATTTGATAATTAAACACATTTCTAATAAAACTACTGAAGAACTGTCTTTATTGGCTACTTTTGGGTGAGGAGGTGAGAAGCCTTTGACCAGTGTTTATGCTGCCATGAAGTCAATGAGAACGAGACACCAGCTTTGACACTACAGATCTTTACTTGAATTTGATCCAAGTTTGTTTTCTATACAGGGTTTATTTACAAGGTCTGAAATGCGGGAAGGAAAAAAAAAACAGAAATAAACAAACACTAGATACATCTGAGGTATCCGCTAAAAGCATTTACATGTATGTCATTTACTAGTAAATAATGATGATCAACAGTTAGAGATGCAGTGTCCTCTGCTTAAAAAACATCTTATATCACAACATGAGGTAGGAGAACAGTGTCTCTATTCATGCAAGAACAAAAGTCTCATCACACTGTAGTATTGGCAACGTAGTATGCAATCGTCATACACAGACACTGCGTTTCATGATTCATAATTGAGGGGAAAAAGGTTAGTTTCAGCAACTCTTTCACAGGATGTGTATAAACTGAAACGTGATAACCAAAGATCAGCCATGGCTGCAGCTCTGCCTCTAACAATATCTGGCGGCTGCACATGATTCCCCTAATTACAAAGCAAGCCTCCCACAACGTTTCGTAGCGTTTCCATATCTTGAATGTGATCAAGTGGTAGAACTCTGCCTTTTTTTTTGTTTTGTTTTGTTTTAGCTAGTCGGGAAAAAAGTCACCCTTTAGAAATTCTGTACAAATCATATCAAGCTCTTATAACACCGCAAAAAGCAAACGCGGCCCAGAGAGTTTTATAAGGGGTTACTCATTCCTACCAGTCTTTTTCTCATCGCAGATGCACACTTAAAAGGTCAAACAGTGCCCCCTTGTGTAAAAAATGCAAACTACTCTGTAAAGCATCTGCTAATTCAGTGAATTAGAAGATTAATTAGGTTTGTGTTTAGCTTTAGAGGTAAATAAGTGAATATAAATTAATACTGGTTATCATGTGAGCGACAGCCGACGAAAATGATATGAGACTAAATGAGAAAACAGCCGCATATCCAGAGCTGCATGAGCAAGTTTTTCCTCTTTCTCTTTTCAAAGTCGCTGTGTTTCGGACATGGGATTGGAGGGGGGGGGGGGATTGGCGTGCGCGACACACACACACTCGCAGTTTTCAATCAAAGTAGGCTTCAACAGCCAGCCTCTCAACCTTAAACGATATAAAACTTGCACATGTTCAATATTCATGCAAATGAGCCTTCTCAACACAGAGGGAAACCTTTAGCCTTTCATTTCTTCTTTTCTTTCTTTGAATAAAAAGATTACCGGAGTGGCCCAGGGACACAAACTATAATGGGCAGCAAAACATGCGAAGAAAAAAAAAGAAAAGAAAAGTTTGTTTTCTTCCTTTTTTTTCCTCCATAATGCATTTTCTTCAACAAATTCGCAATGCAGCTCAGGGTGAGGAGGGCCAACAAAGAGCGAAAAGAAAGTTTACATTACACATTAAACAGCTTAAGATGATCCACAAAAACAGTTGCATCAGAAAGGTTTTCGAAGGAGGGGGGCAGGTGGGGGGGTTGGAGAAGTGTGTAACAAAGTACTAATTTCCTATTTCGCTTCATGTCCGAGTAAACCATGCACTTCACTTCCCACATCCACTCAAGTTTCCATATCTGCAATGTTAATTTGTTTATAAAAGAAAAGCAAAAACACTTCGGCCTTAGACGGAAGCCTCAGTTCTGGTCCAAACCATATAACCTTCTGAAGATTATTTATACAAGAACAGTTAATATATTAATGACTACTGTATTTACAAAGTGAATATAAATCTTTTGTTAATATGTTAAATATTTTCTTTCATCATCTCAATAAAGGTTTAAATGGAACAACAGTAAAGTGTACATTTGTGGCATGGGTTGGCTTTCACTTGCACCTGCTTTCATGAGCATCAACAAACCAGCCGTACTCTGCCCGCTCTTTACGCTCTGTTATTGTAAAGGGAAGCTGTGTAAGAAAGTCTGCAGCGAACAGAATGGAGCACAGTGGAATGTCTATCAATTTGCATTAACAGCAGATGCATAAAAAGAAAAAGAAAAAGCTCAGAGTTTAGGCCGATCCCATTACACAGTTATTTACACACACGCGCACACACTCGCTCACAGGGATCTTAGTGGCAATAAAAAGCGCTTTTGCCTGGCAACTACCACAATAAAAGTCCTCTCTTCCTCTGGCTGGGCGTCTGCTCGCTCTCCTGGGCATCCACAAAACGCAGCACGCCCCCGGATGATGTGGCTGCACGGGCATGTGCCAGCGAGTCACTGTGGGAGAGGGAGAGGAGGGGGGGGGGGGAGCCGAGAGCTGGGAGATCCAGAACAGTGTCACCCGAGGGTGGGCAGAGGGCCCCAGACAACAGCAGCTGCCCTCATTCTGGTGGTACAAAACAAAACCCAAAAAAAAAAGGGTTCCCCATGTACCCCCGGCATCCAGGCCACCCAGCGTGTTCCAGGGGAGGGGAGGGGGGGGGGCAATCAGTCCTCAGTGCTCTTCTCTCCTCCTCCTCTTCCCGCCTCCCTGCCTGCACACTGCTGTTTGTTCAGCCAGGCAGAATAACTGGAAATACGACCCGGACCCATCTCCTACAACTGCGTTCACCTGCGACCCCCATCCTCAGATGAGGGTCTGAGAAACGAGGTGGTTGATAAAAAAAACGTCTTCTGACGACAAAGTCGTTTTTTTTTAAAAGAGAGAAAAGAACAGAAGCGTGTTTTGACCACGGTAAACGCGGCGCAGCTGAAACGCACGCGAGAAAAGTGTGGCCTTTTTTTCTCTCTTTCAGAAACGGCAGCACCTGCGTCCGGACGCTTTCCTCTCCCCGAAGATTCTGGAGGGAAAAGGTGAGTCGGCCGGCGAGCTGCAGGAGGAGCCAGGCGCCACCCAGCACAGTGAGGAGGAAGCCAGTTTGTGGTCCAGGCCAGGGTATTTCTTAGCTAGCTACCTTTTTATGGGGTCACACTCAAAAAAACAGTCACTTCAAGTTCAGCGTCACTATTGGCATATTTTCATGAGGTTTTCTACGACATCTGCAAGTGGCAAACGTCTTCTTTTGTACAGTAAAGGTCTCTCTCCTCCATAAATTATTGATATTTTTCACGTTATACTTTTTCTCTGTGTTTATAAGGAGTCCATGAACAAAAAAGAATAGAACAGCAATGAAACATCTGCTCAGTGTCCTGTACTCACTGGTGCTTGAGGGTTTGGGCTTCGTGTACACTGAGACAGATGAGGCCCGCAGCCGGGCAGCGTTATGTGTCTGCGCGCCCCAGCTGCTGCGCCAGGTAGTCACATGAAGTGTTGTCAGTGAGGAGCAGAGAGTCCAGAATAAAGTCATTAGCTCCTTACAACCCGAGGGGCAGAGAGGGACGCGGGAGGAGGAGAGATCTCGATGGGCTGACCTGTCTGTAAAGCAGCTGTTTGTTCAGTAAAATCCTTAAATTAAATCAAACATACATGCCAAAAAAAAAAACTTTAAATACTGTTTGAAGAGGGAAGGGGGAAAAAAAAAGAAACAACATAAAAAAATTTGAGTCTTGTTGAATTATAAAAACAAAAGTCAGTCCAAACTGAGATAAAAAGGGGGGGATAGGGCGAGCTGCACAGCCCGAAAACAGCCCCCGGGGGATGTGAAGCTCCTCTCTGCTTCAGGCTGATTTGTTTGTGTCTGTAGAGTTGGCGGGAGACTGGAGAGGAATGAGGGAGGGAGGCGCTGAAGGGGTTGCAGTTACTTTTGGTCAGCCGCCGGGGCCTCAGACAAGGAGGAAGAACAGGGTGGGGCGTGGGCGTTGTGGGGTCCAGCGGAGGGGCTGAGAGTGGGAGAGGAGCTGCCTCCCACCGAGCCAGACTGGGCCATCTGCTGCTTGAGCTGAGCAATGGTGTGCTCCAGATTCTCGCGCGCCTCCCGCTCCCTGCGCAGCTCCTCCTGCAGCTCCTGCCTGTCTGCCTCCGCCCGCTCCAGCCTCTGACACAGCTCCGACAACTGCGGAGGGGAACAAAGAAGTGAGTCTATGCAATGACTACGCCAGATCAAAAAGCACAGCAGGACGCCGAATGTCGAAGCACAAGAAGTAATTCCACTCTTCACTTTGGTTTTAGTCTCACGTACACACGCACGCACATATTTACCAACTGACAGAAACCCGATCGAATCAAGTTTGACTGAGACAGACGGGGGCGGTCGTGCTACGAGAGGGAGGCTGGTGGAAACCCCAAACAGGAGATCCTGAGTGTTCTGACACTCTTACACGACACCCAGCTCAAGATTGTGTCTGACTGGCACTCGTAAAAGGCACAATAAAGGCCCGACTAATGTGCGGCGTTGGCTCTCTGCTGATAGCTGGGCCCGTCACTGTGATTCGTCCTGACAGCCCGTACCTGAGCGGTGTAGTGGGCCTCTTGCTGCCGTTGAGCCCCCGGCTCACAGGCACAGGCCTGCTGTCTGAGCTGCTCCAGACGGGTCTCCAGCTCCAGCTGCTCCTGGCGTGCCTGGCTGAGCTGCCGCGCCTGCTCGCTGTGCACCGCCTCCAGCTCGCTGCGCAGCTCCCGCTGCTCGGCGCTCAGCTCCCGTAGCCTCGCCGCTTCGCCCCCGCGCATTGCCTCCAGCTCCTGGAGACGGAGAGACGGAGTCAGGGAAAATAACAATGTGAAGCCGCGCTGACCCCCAGAAAAAAGAACATTTACAAAGCAGTCCCTCCTGGGGGTCGTCTTTAGCTTGACACCACCAGAGACTTCATCTCTTCTTCTAACCAAAATCTGCTCAAATCCAAAGATGTGTTGGTAACCTCTTACATGTCTTTTTTTACAAATTTAGAGGGAGTGTGGATGGGGCAGAGGACAAAAACACTAAAGGAAGGAAGATAGAAAAGGAAAAATTGCTGTTGGACATTTAGATTATTTTCTAATTCCCTTCCGTCCTGTCAGCGAGTTTCAATAAGGGACATCATCATGTGAACATCTCTAGATGCGCAAACTGAAATTAAACTAGGGAGCTCTAAGCGCGTGTTACATTCATGAAACTGATTTATATGTTCTGCTGAGTTGTAAACGGGGGAACCCATGTGATTCCCGGGTGTGCCGGTGTAATAGAGCGAGGGATAGAGGGGTCAGGAGAAGGCGAGCGTCACCTCCACGTCTACATCAAGGACAGTTTTAATGGTGGGAGAGACGTGTTATCTGGGGCTCATTTATCTTGGTCTCTGTGGTTTTTGAACATGGACTCACCATTTCAAGCTGCAGCTGCTTGTGCAAGGTGGAGTTGAGCTTCTCCTGCTGCCTGCTGTACATCTGCATGATCTCCACCACAATTCTGTCCTTGTCGTCCTCCAGCCCCCCCAGCACCGCTGCCCCGCCGCTCGTGGCAGAGCTCATGTCCTTAGCTTGTTCTTCTGTTACCGACGACAACAGCGTTGCGGGAGGAGGGGTGTGGGAGGGGACGTGGGCGGCTTTCTTACAGCCCGGGCTGCTTGTCTCCATGGAAACTGCCTGGGTTTGGCAATCCCGCTCGGTGGCCGAGGCAGCAGTGGCACGATGGGATTTGGCCTCCTCTGCGCCAGCACTGACGGGAGGCGACGCGTGAAGATCTGAGGAGGGGAGAAAGAGGAGGATGAAGACGGAAAAATAAATAAATAAATCGAGAAAAGAGGAAAAAGAGGAGGTTGTCGAGAGACAGGAAGTGCGAGCCGGGCTGGTGCACACTCCCGCCCACGGTTAGTAACACCCTCACACAACCTCATAAAAGCGTACACTTCTTCCACAGAAAAGGAGCACACACACGCACGGCATGGCAACGACCAAGGAACCAAACGCTCGCCCACAAATTCTGTGTGTGTTTGCCCTCAGACACAGGAAGGAACAAAGGGCCTTGTGTAGGTGCGCTGTTTAAAGTTTGGTTTGTTCCTGGCTGTGGCCTCCGAGGTGCGCATCACGGGAAATAATGGGTAGGATGGTAATCTGTGGCAATCTCAAGATTGATTGTGTTACAAAGTCTCGGTAATTAGACTTTTCCAGAGAGTGAGTCACTGCATTAAGCCTTGATTACAAAAACCTGAAATATGAGATAGATGGTGGTCATTTTCAGATTTGGAGTTTGGGGGTTTTTGGAAATAGATCAGTGATGAAAGCTCAAAGCTTGTTTAAGTGCCTTTTTAATGTAATCATTTAATCAAAGTTTATTTTGCTACTGACATCACACCTAAATGTTTTGGCGTTACGGCAGCCTGTTTGGAGAATGGGGACAGAAATAGATGAGAGCTCTGGAATAAGCACGACACGGTGAGAAAAGGGGGCGGGGGAGCTTACTCTTGGGGTAAAAAAAAAAAGAAGAGGAGTGGGTGTATGAGGTGACAGCAGACAGAGAGGGAGGCAGGGATGAGGGAAGCCAGATAGGAGAGAGACAAGGATGGATGGGTGGAAGAGGAAGTCGGGGAACAGACGGAGAGCCGACTCAAAGAGGATGTGAAGCTGGTTGCCAGGAGAGATGGAGAATGGAGGCAAGGCAAACAGATTGGTTGGAGAGGAGAAAAGGGGAACAGGACGCCTGAGAGTTACGAGGAGAGCGGGGCAGCCTGGCCGTCAGATGTAGCGTTAATAATGTTCCTGCGATACAGCCTTCCATACACATGCAGCACAGAGGAGGCCGCTCCGTCAGCCCCTCTCGCTCATCAATAGTCGGGTCCCCTCAGAGCTGTAATGTGAGGGTCACTGCACGATCACATGTATCACCGCGGGCTGTCCAGCCAAAGTGTGTGTGCTGTAGGATTTTGGTAAACATGTGTCGGCTCGGAGGTGGATGAACCCGATCTGCCTGTGGACTGCTGCTGCTGTGAGTGTGTTCATAGCAGACACGCATCAGACTGTCTCTAATGTGCATACACAGGAGCATTAATGCATATGAATTCATGTTTAATGTGTAGATATCACCATACAGTTTCTGATTGCGTGGGAAACCCTGAAACTGGTTCAAACATTTAATTAATATGAATATGTACAGCACTCCCTGTGAGCTAATGTGTAATCTGTATCTTTGGTAAAAGACTTCGTCTACACAAACATTTTTTTAAATAAAATGGTGTATATGCTTAAAAATGTAGCTGTACTACATTGTAATTAATTTCCTTATTCGATTTATTTATTTATCATGAAATCATTTTTATATTTAGAAAAACACACATAATATGATTTATGGAGTACCTTACACCATTCAGGTAAATTCTCCATTGAAAAAAGTTCAGGGTGTACAAAAAATAAAAAGAAAGAATGGAAGAAAAAACTAATAATTTAAATGATTATTTCGTCCAGTTCACGTTTGAAACTGAAACTGGGTGGATACATTTAATCAAATTCATGTAAGAGCTCGACCGAAATAAATTTTAGTGTTTTCAATTTTCCGGGCGTGCAGAGAAAAGCCATTATGCAAAATCAGATTTACGCTCCCAGAATTTTACTGCTCTATAATTTATTCATATTATCATCCAAACAATTGCAATCATCCCATTTTAAACTGCTAATCACAGGAGGACGACCTCCAACAGCAGGATTTGACATTACCTGCTCCCTGGTGTTAATTTGGCCGTATCTCTCTGCAGGTCTGCAGTTCATGCAGAGTGCTGCCGATCTAAAATCTGTTAGCAAAACAGAAACTACTTCCTGCCCTCTCAGCAGCTTCCTGCTTTGCAATTTAAAGTATTTTAGCTGCATTAACATAATTACTTTCAGGCAAAAGCTGTACTTCTTTCTAAGAGAAGGTCAAGCACAACAGGGGAAGATTTTAAATGTAATTTTCATTTTGTCTAATGAGTTCTGAATCAGCTCCCCTGATCAAAGCCTTAAAAGCTTCCAAAGTACCAACATTTCTTAGAAGAAAATTACCGGTAGATCAAATCTGATAATATTTGACTTTTCTGATCCTGTTCTGACTCAGACAATAAATCTTTATTTGCTCTATATTATTTTCCAGATGTGCTCCAATAACAGCTCTCCTAAAACTTGAAATAGAAGTACTGTGTGTGTCCTTTGTGTCTTTATGTCAGCTCTGCTGCGTGCTTTGTTACTGACCCATTGGTGGCTCGTCGTGGCCCAGCACTCTGCGGCCGTAGTGGTGTTTTAGCAGTGCTCCCAGCATTTCAGGGCTCATCTCCGCCTCCCTCTGCAGTGACACGTTTGGAGCCACCATCTTATCGTATGTGTACATGTAGTAACTGAGGGAAATAAGGAAGGAAAGAAAGGCATAATTCAATAACTTTTCACACATTTTTTAACATATTGATATCAACCAATTGCTAGTCTCTCACATTTCACACAAATTGAGCTGCCTTGCTATTAGAATAGATGCAGAACACGGGGTCTTTACTCTGTTGCCTTAGTTATTCCAACGCAGTATTCTCCGTTTTTTAATGAAAGATCATAAAATGTGACACATACAGCACAGAGCAATGTACAATAACTTATATGACCCTTTACAAGTCACAAAGAAATAGGAGGAAGAGAACAATGGTTTAGTGTCTGTTTTAGCTCCCAGAAACGGGTGCATCTGACAGTAGGAGCTGAAAACACAGTGTGGAATATGGATATTTCTTATCACGTCTTTACAGAATCTCTGTTTAAACAGAGCTTCAGCTTATCACAAATTTTCAGGTAGTGGTAACAACTGAGAGAGAGATACTGCCTGGAGATGCTCTGAAGCCACTCCGCCAACACTTTGTGTTTATTCCTGGCTCCATGGCAGGAAAGGGAGCAGAGGAGAGGAGCTTTGAACCCCTCCCCCACCAAGAGGCCCCTCCAGACAGCACTGAGGCTGGAGCAGTGAACTAGGCTAAGCCTGACAGCTCAGTGGGACACTGCGTGAAAAGCTACAGCACTACCAACTGAGCCTTGCTTCCTCCTCTCTTCTCTGCTCGCCTGAGTGGGAATCCGAGACTCTTTCACATGAAACAACTCACAAGTGACTGAATAATGTAGGCCCGACTCGTATTAGACACGTGTACCACTAATGGATGTGCGCCTCTCTGCGCCGTGGATGTCCAGTTGGACGTCCCACTGTAGCCGAGCATTTCTGTATCACTCGCACTACAATGCAAAACACATGCCCCATACTGGTCTGCACAAGATCGAACTGGTTTAGAAGTGGAGCTGTTGCCTGTTGCCAGCAGGTGACCGGGCCTATAATCCCTTTCAGTTTGTCTAGCCTGATGTCTGAGAGCTTCCTAACACTATGTCTGAAGCAGTCACATGTGGCTGGTACCATAAACCATCTAATTCCAGGATTTAATGTGGGTCAGAATGCTGTGTTTGCTATGAAAGAGCTATATCTAAATGAAGCTCCCTTAGAAGGCAGGGGAGCAAAAAATAAAAAGGAGCCAGAGGAATGAAGAAAAAGAGTTGATGAAGAATTACAAAGGTATGACAGCAGGGCAGAAAATTAAACAAATATCAAACTTAACTTTTTTTTTTAAGATACTGCTGAAACAAAGGCTAAAGAAGCCAAAGTACTTTTTTAGAATACTTTTTAAAACACTGAACATCATTTGCTCTCAGCGTCCCAAATAAGAGGCGTATCAGAATCTTGAACTGGTCACCCTAAAGAAAGTGAGCACAGATAATCAGTTCAGACGGAGGCCTGGGACTCCGTATAAACGTGCCACGGTCAGAGGCTGCATCAGCTTCGGGTTAATATAAATAATGAAACACTAATGGGGGCAACCTTCTAACTGGGTGTCACTGCTAATGCGCCCACGCAGGTGAGCTGTAGTACCTGGGATGGACCAGGGTGGGGTGTCCTGGTTCCTCCTTGATGTCTGTGAAAAGACGATTGAACACCAGAGTGGGCGGGGATGGCTTCACCTGTGGGGGGAAATAAAAAAACCCCTAAATTGAAGAAGCACATGAAATGTAGTGTTGATTTTAGAAAACAATAGGCTGATCATAGTGTTTTTGCAGCTACCTGTGAGCGCACACATGCACACAGAAAACACACACACATGAATATGCATGTCTCCACATGAGTACGGAGAGGAAATCTGCAGGGGGGTTAGGGAATTTGAAAGTCATAATCTAATGAAGCTAATATATGCACATATACATGCGACACACGAGTGAGGGATGATCCATCCAGCGCATCAGCTGGGACGCTGTGCACGTGCACGACTCAGAGAAGATAATCGTGATAAAGAGCTTTTTTCCCGCATGTTAACTTGGATATATGTGCAGCGGGGAGGGGGGGGAGGACAGAGCAACGGCTGCATGACTCTATTTCATGACAAGATGGAGGGAAGAAGCGTGCGGCCATGAATGGATGAACAGGGGGCGTGTCTGGGAGTGGGGGGCGGGGCTAGTGACCCCGAAAGCCGACCTGTGTCGAGGAGGGGGAGATGAGCGGTAGAAGGTGACAAGGAGACGCATGGATGCATTCAACGAGAGGAAACAACCACTGACCTTTCTGGCAGGATCAGCATCAGTCACTTTGTCGTTAGTGGAGC